ATAACAACTGCCTAAAATAGACAATTCCCAAACACTTTTCGACGTTTTGACCTGAGGGCATTCGTCAGGAGAGTTAGTATGCGCCATTTATTTTCATATACTAACTTTTCTACGAAGCCGAAGGCCCTCAAGTCGAAACGTCGAGAAGTGTTTTGCCTATTTTAGGCAGTTGTTATATTTATATATTTTAGGCACATTTGATGATAATGTATATATATAATGTATATATATAATGTATATTATATATATTTTATATATTATAATTATATAGTATATAGCACAGATATTTGGCACTGCTTTCATGCAAACAAAACTGATTAAACCAGTATTTTATATATGTTCCATCTGTATATAGTCTGTACACCGCCTGAATTACGCCCGTAATACAGCTTGTCGACCCTCAGCAAAGATGCTCTAATCCGTAAGCAATTGTTTCCCATTGGCCGAAATTTCCCGGAGTTCTAAAGCGCATGCTTATTGGATAGTGCGATAGAGGTGTAGCCAAGGTGCCGCACTACTCCTTCGTGCGAGTTTTCACAGACGGGCGTAATTCAGGCTATGCACAGGTTAATCTTTTATTTTTATTATTATTTATTTAAAAGAATTCACAGTGTGTGATTGGCTAATATAGCCATGTGTGAAATCGTCATATCCAACGGGTGACGTCATAACGTGTGATATATATACGACTGATGCACAGGTTAATCTGTATATCGATCAAATTAAAACAGGGGTATTAATAATGTATTTTTCGTTCATGGGATCGACTCGTTATATATAATTGTCTTAGTGGCTATCTAACCATGCAAACTACGTACGCACGTGCAAGAAACTAAATAAAATGCTTTTGACAGGTTGTACAGGTTCCTGTTGGTCGTGATACCATTGTTTTATATTCACTATCGTGCGGGTTTATGTATGCCTTTGGAAGTTATCAGTCATCATAATAAGATACTTGTTGGTCATAGTTTTCGGAATACCTCAACAAAATCCATGACAGAATGTCTACAACACTGTTTGTCTGACTGTCTTTGCAAATCATTTCAAATATGTGAAGAGAAATGTCAACTGTGTTCCACGAGCACTGCTCTGATATCATCCGACGTAAGAGAAAGCGATGGGTGTGATAGTTTTGAAGTTCGTCCGATTGCTCAGAAGGTGGGGAAAACTATAAAATATGTAAATAGGCGTCAACTATATCGGTCCTCCGATAGGAATCGAACCTACGGTGCAATGGTTTGAATTTGAAGTGTATATTCCACCCGAAATTAACACCCTTTGAACCCCTAGAATCTACCTGCATCAGGTGAAGTGCCAAAAATCATAACATGTAAATATAGGCGACTGTATGATTTATAAATTATGTAAGTTTTTTGATCCGGAGACTTTTGAAAATTAATTAAGGGAACAGACCTTGGTTAGGAATAGACTTTTGGAATAAATTATGCTCTCTATGAAGTACTTAGAAAAGCCGGCCATGAAGAACGCACGGTGGAAACCTTCATAAATATATCTGCTTTCCTTTACACAGAAATTTAGCTGTTAGCTAAATTTTGTTTTACCTGAATTCTATTCAGTACTATTCACTCCTAATGTAAAATTATGGTGCATGAATGTTTAGACTACTTTAAGAGGGTAGTGTGCTGGTCATGTCACTGCTGTCCATAATCTATTTTTTATCTCCTCTATATATAAATAAAAAAAGTTAGATCAAAATGGAAAATGAGTCTGTTCTGTTTATTAACAGGAAATAGTTTCCGAGCAATGCCTTCAAGAGCAAGGTTGCATGACACCTTTGGATTGCTGTATGACGTCGAATCCTTGTTTTAATCGAGGGAAGTGTAAGGTTACCAGTCTGAGACAAACCCCAAGATTCAAATGTGAATGTCCAGTTGGATACGGCGGTCATCGTTGTGAAGATCTTTGCCCACTTGGTTATAGCGGAGAAAATTGTGACCTACCTATCCGTTCATGTTCGGACTACAACCAAGATAGTCCTCTTCCTGGCCCCTATTACATTTTAGATCCTAATAATATAACTTACCTTGTATTATGTGACTTTGAAAATTCAAAAAAAATAGCCTGGACGTTGATTCAGTCGTATACTCTACTTGCTAAAAATGATTTTAAATCCGGTCTATATGTTGATGCACCAGTTAACGACGATACTCCAAACTGGTACTCTTATCGTCTTTCCTACACGAAAATTGCTGCAATTTATGAAACCAGCCGGTACTGGCGTCTGACTTGTAACCACGACAGAGATTTTGCGTATTTAAAAAGGGATTTCGTAGTTGGATTGAAGAGTGACTTTAATATATTAAGCTCCGTTTTGCTCAAATGCATACAGGTGGAAAGAGTTCATATCCGTGGATTCCATTGCAATAGTTGTCAAGTCAAGGTTACGCAGAAGAACAACGTTACACTACATGTAAACTCGTACTATTCCAAAAGCTGCAACCATAGTATTGATTTTAACGGACATAACTGTAATGAACGCGGCGGAGAGTATAACTTCGGACATTATACTTGCATAAATACAAAACACAGTTGCTCCTCTTCACTCGTGGCCACCACACAGACATGGATTGGTAACTAATCACGAGTAGGATAGTATAATGAAATAGAATAATGGAATCGATCGATCGAGGAAGGTTAAACGTAATTGTCATTGACATTGTCATGTCTGTTTTTTACGACAAAACCGAGCGGGAACTGCGGCCCCGTTGCCGTTGGTTACCAAACATGCATAATGTAAATAATAAACCGGCTATATAGGAGCTTACTTACCTCGTCAAATCACCGACACCGCAGAAATTGGTGTTGTAAGTCAAATATCTCATCAGTTGCTCACATTTGAATCCTAGTATTCAGAAACTGCTGTCAAAGAAAATACTATCAAATAAGTTGAAAACAAGTTCAATTTTTCTTCCAATATCGGTTTTGGAAACTTTTGAAGGCTCTTCGTATGCATCTGCCACCGTAAAATGGCCATTTTGAGACATTTTCAGATATTTTCAGATGATTTGTTTTTGCCGTGTGCAAGCTTCAAATCTTTTGTGCAAGAGATATTTTGTTGAGTATTTATAAATCTTTTAGCTTGCCGAATTTAAAGTCTAAGTATTGAGAATTACGGCTAAGTCTACCAATTTCCGCGGTGTCCAAATCACCAACTATGGTCAAATCACGAAAAATGTGCAAATTTAAGCTAAGATATATGTATATACAGGTTATCTCCTCCATGCACAACGAAACAAATACCAAACTAGGTTTAAATTTCCGTTCAGCTATCTAATATATAATTATACGCTTAAAGGAAGAAAGGTGTCTGAGCATATAGCAGCTAGGGCACAAATAAAACCCTACATTATTTGAGTTCGTGGCCTGTGCTATAGAGCATGCTTTGATATTTTATACGTGGTCAATTGTCAAAGATCACGAACAACATGTAATGCACATAGCTAATTATTATTTCCTTTTGCTAAAATATTCGGAGAGCGTTTGTTTCTAATACTGCATGGTTGGTTGGCGAAGTTAGAGTTGTTGCATGCATGCATGCATTTTTTAGTAGCTTTCTAGTACACGTTCAGTTGATGAATCGATTAAATTCTGTAATGTAATAAAATAATAATATTTGCAGGCTTGCTGAAAATCGTAAAATATTAATATTGAAAAAAATATTTTATTGATATACAATATTCTACAATTTTCGACACACTATGTTTAGACTATGTATGTTTAGTTGTCGAAAACTAGCAGTTTCCCTTTTCGAAAACTAATAATTTAGAGTTTAGTTGCCGACAACTTGCGCGACAGCCGACTATATACGTTTTTCAGTTGTCGACAACTTTTAGTTCGACAGCTAAATCTCTAGCCTGTGGAGGCCCTAAGTTCTAATTAGTCCCACCCAAATATATAATAGATTATGGGACCCGCTTATGTCACATCCAATGATTCCAATCCATATTGCTCAATGCATGGTTATGGCAAAAGACCCATTTACACTATATCGGATTCACATGGTCACGACATCAGTTTAAAGGGGTCAGCATGCATGGGAGTCTAAAAGTGATTTTCTGCAACTTTGGATAACATTAAACAATATTCTTCCTACACTCACTAAGCAGGTTATTCTGAGTAAAAATAGAGTTGTATGAATGTGCACTCATGCACCATGCATAGTTACGTATACTCAGTACTCACCTTACTTAAATGTACTTGGTGAAATAGGTGCATGAAAGAAATCTTTCAGACTGAAGAGTCGTCTGTAGAAAAGTAAAATATTCACAATTATGTTCTCACCCCATGGACAATCGAAAACTGACACTTGGGAAAAAATATTTTATATAATACACATGAAATTACAAATTTTATACAGAAGTACATGTTTCCGATGCAAGAATTCATCTGACTCCTCCGCAGTCCCTTAATTGGACATTTATAGATCAGTGGTTGGACATTTTTGATCAGTAGTGATATTTATAGATCAGTGACTAGGAAAAGTCTCTAATGTTGCATCTTGGGAAGGCGTTGACGCGCCATTATATAATTATTATTTGTTTGCGTAACACCAAAGCGACTGGGGACGAGTCAGAGAATTCATGAAGTTGTGAATATGATTAAATTTAAATTAGCCTTGTTATTGCTTCGAAAGAAAATGGTACAGCTGACCGCGGAACAACGAGTGTTTATTGTGATATTATCCCAACAGAGTGCTTTGGGTTTCAAACTCTAACAATTACATTGTTATGGGTGATTTCAATATTTTTCGGGCTTTTTGAGACACCCTGATAAGTTCAAAATGGGAAACAAAATTATTTAGGTTTATAATTATATATTGAACAACTGAGCTGAAATATTTCGATGTAAATAGTTTAGTTTTCAATGGAAGAACATATTTAATGCATAAGATGTAGTTTCAGTCATTCACAAGATGTATGAGAGTATTTTTAAACTCTGGCTTATACACCGTTAAGATGAAATGCCCTTCGAAAACCGGCCCTTGTACCGCTTTATTTTGCCGTTATACGCGTGGCTGCCCTCAGACTGTCGTATTACCTATGCACAGCTGCAAACTTGTACGGCTGTAACTGAGTGTAACAGCTAGGAACAGAGTCGTATAACGAGATATCGTGTTTGTTTGAATAAAGTTCACTTCATACATGGGTATTACGTGGTTTATCTATCTAACGGTTCTTACTCTGGATGTAATTGTTTGGTGTTCTCCGGGTAAAATCGAGAGGTCGTTCCTCGATCGTCATGATCTAAATGCATCAAGCGATTCAAATTTGAAAAGATGTCAAAACACCTACAAAAATCTCACCCTAGAGCAGAAGGCCCGCTGTAAGTACAGTTTCAACTTCAAGGGCTTTATAAAATATGAAGAGCAGAAATATATAACATGAAAACCGCAATATACTTAACCGAATATCGAATCGCCATTCGACAATACATGTAAACAGAGAGACTATAGCATTAGCGTTAAAATCGAGGTTAAAATTACTCGTGCGATCTCAGCCTGGTTTCCATAATGTCGTAATTTTGGCGAACAACTCAGTTCAGTCCAGATGTGAATTGTCTCTATTTTCTGTATTTAAACTGTTCATTTTTGAGTGTACACGCGTATATAGAAATATTCTTTTACATTATATATAGTCACCTTGACGGGTTGACGACAAAATGAAAACCAGGCATTGCTCAGCATTTACAACTTACATCAGCTTAATTTGTTTTATGGTATAAATTATCTGTCCCCAGAACTTTTTCATTTGACTTATCATGTTAAAGCAATCATGCTCCATACTTTTTGGGGTAAAACTTGCTCTTACATGTAATTTTGATATTGAGACATTCGAACCGGAACCATATATATATATATATATATGTTTACATAGTTGGTAACTTGTAAGTTACCGAATAACTAAGCAAAATATTAACTTGTTATTGGCGACGCTTCGATTGCTTTGTAAACTAAGAAAATAATGGTTTTGTTAATAATATTTTGCTTATTCAAAAATCTAGTTATATTTAAATCTAGTTATTAGCTATACAGGGTGTCTCAAAAAAACGAAAACTATTGAAATCATCGATAATAATGTAATTGTTAGAGTTATAATTGAATGCCTAAGCACTCTGTTGGCCGGACCCACAGGTGTATAAATGTTTACCATACTCATTTTTATATGCATGCATATGATGCAGTAAAATTTGCTTGTTCGCAAAAATGATATTTACTAACAATATTTACAATTTACAAATATATGGATAACAATATTTAAATGTGCATCTCAAGGACCATGACCTTCGACATGTCCCCTTTCTGTAGCAACAGAAGTATTTAGCATTTTATAAGTTGCACTAAATCCCCACGGGCTGAAATTCGTGAACACGACATTCAAATTTTAACAATGAGTGATTTCAATAGTTTTCGTTTTTTTGAGACACTCTGTATAGCTTATTCAAAAAGCAAAATATTTACATAAATCATAAATCATGATTGTTTTTCTTCTGCCTTAAAGCAGTCAAGTTGAACTAATTATGAATCAAGGTTCGAAGTTCAAAAGAACAGAGTATATGCAAATAAATATATATTTCGTGGCGTATACTATTAATTCATTTTCCACCCGTAAATCATGCACCCTGTAAGATTGCACGTACGCGCACGTTAAAACCTAAACCTTTAAAGTTGTTGTATAATAAATTTCATGCCAGAAAAAAATACATCAAGTGAATCCAACATTATGTATCTATTCAATCGTTAATTTCATAAGTTACATTACCGGTACGCGTTCCTATTCAAAAAAACGGGACAGTATTATACTGTCAGTAGAAAGCAACGGGCGCTGCTGTCACTGCGGGCCTGTGTCCATGCATAGACTTTAGACCACCTGTTCGGGCAAATTTTCCCGGAAAAAGAGCCTGCGAAGGAGGTTGTGTCTCACTAGTGTTGTAAAAGACGCCCGCTTTGGCGTTAACCTCTGCGAGCGTTCCATGCACTCTGTCATTGCAATGCTTCTATCTGAACATAATATCATCATATATTTACGGTTTAGAAAATAAAAATAGTACAAAAATTTAGTTGAAAACAAATCCATGGGAAAACAGCGGAGGAAAACTGTGTAACAGGCAATTTGGTTTTCAATAGGAAATCACAACCGTTGTGAGAAACCATGTGTAAGAAATGTTAAAGAAGTAAAATTTTTATTTCATTGAATAGACATTGACGCAAGTGGAAAACCCGGCAGTGGTATTTATGGTGGAAATACTTTGTGGTATGGCTCGTACAGTGAATGCCAGAAAATACCCAACTCGCGTTATTGTTGGACGAGGTTCCTTGGATATGTTGCTCTGCCCAAAATTGGAAAAGAGGTGAGAAATAAAGATTCTTCGCGGATATCAAAATGACAATTAAAATAAAAGACGGCTTGTCACTGCTTGATACGTAATTATACATAAGGTCTATATTTACTGATGAAAATTATTACATCATATTTTTGACGCTTTTTTGCATGCTCTTTTTATGCACTTAATTAATTTTGGTCACATACACATTTCAAATGCTGGTATATTTCGCGCCATTACACACTTGCGACGACGAAAAATAAAAAAAAATAAAAAAACAACAACAAAACAAAACTGAGGCGATTTTCAACTCCGTCGCTATAGCGCCGGAGTAATTAGTGAAATTAGTGATTACAATTAACGCTATCTAAAAGCGCCTGTATTCTAAAAGCTCGTCCTCACTCAAACTCGTTCATGGGGGTCTCATGACGTTTCCATGGCGGTATTTCCAGCTGAATATAGGGGCGGGATTATTAGTGTTTTACCTAAAACCTTTCCAGCTGTTCAGAAAGAACTTTCGCATTGACCATGCAGCATTAATAAAATTTATATTTATATTTATACGGATTATACCGCACTGGTTTTGACTGAACTATGAAGACTGGGTCGTTTTTTTACTAGACGGCATATAGGCTTAGTTGCTGCTGTTGATGCAATGCGAAGGATCTTACACCATAGTCATAGATAATAGCAGCCAGAAAATGATAGGAAACTTCATTGCCTTTCGGCAAAAACTCGATTTTAGACAATAGAATCTCAAACATGGAGGTATTTTGATTTACAAGAAACGTTATGATGAAGCTGCCCAACAAGTGACGATAAAACGTCTCATGCATTCGGTCTATATGCCATATGGTAGTGTTTTTGGAACAGCCTAAAATGTGCATACATTTCCACTAAGAAGGACAAAAACATAAAACAACAATTAGTGTCTATGGGTAAAGTACTGTCAATTTGGACTCACAGGAATTAATATCCAACGCATTCTTTCAGGTTCAGCTAATCGAATGGGGTGTGTGTACACCGAATGATTGTATAAAAGAAGACGGGGGAATTTTCTTCGACTTTTTTTTTCAAAATGGTAGGCGTGCATGGTGTTTGTGAAAACAGAAACAATATGGCAAGTTATACGTAACACGTGAACCTATATAGATATTATCAACATAATTATGTCGATTCTCAACAAGGAAAGCGACTATAAATTAATTATGCAGCCACGGCCGAAACTATATAATATATACATAATATATATATATATATATATATATATATATATATATATATAATATATATATATATATATATATATATATATATATATATATAACCAAGATAATCGTATTTCGTTAAGACTAAAAGAGTGCTCAATACTAAATTGAAAAGCAGAGCTATATTATTATTTAAAATCTTAAAAATTAATTACAATGATTTTTCGCTACTCAGAGTTTCAAAAAGATCGTGAAACTCTGAGTAGCGAAAAATCATTGTAATTTTAAGATTTTAAATAATAATATATATATATATATATATATATATATATATACATATATATATATATAATATATATATATATATATATATAAATGTCACAATGATCTAATTGATCTGTATACAGCAGGGTGTATAAGGGCTGGGTTTCGAATCTTTCTAAACAAAAGTTATAGATAGTTCATATTCATTTAGTAGCAAAGGGAACCTAAGTATAATGTTATAAATATGTATTCGGACAATACATCGACTTTCATGTAGGCGTATGCCTATTTGTTTGCCAGAACAGAACTATATACATATGAGTATTTGTATGCAGGGTGTATAGGGGCCCTCTCAGATATAAATTGCAAAAATTTCATATGCTTCGAATCTTTCTAAACATAAATTATATATCATATTCATTTAGAGCAAAGGGATTAACTAATAAGTATAGTGCCGGTTAGACATTCATATATTTCATCGAATTTTAAACTGAGCAGGGTGGTTAACTTTAAGTTAACAATGCACAGGCTATAAGTCAAAACAAGTGGCAATTTAGTGGTGAGACCATTACACTGTAAATCTCGGAGTGTTGGCCCAACAATATTACCTGTATTTAGTTTCAGGCATTAGCATTGTTACCCCGATCAAAATATACTTCCAAGTGAGATGTGCTGAGGACCCGGGATACACAGCATCAGCAGTGGTTACAATGTGAGTTGCCTTTTACAACACGTGACCAATAAACATGGGTTATTTTGTTCACTTTTTCCTTTTTTTTTCTTTATTAATATCAATATTATTGATATGGTGCGTATGAGACCGTACGGACTGCGCGTGATTTAAAAGCACAGAACCAACGCTAAAATATGAATTCGGACTGCAAGAAAAAAATAAATCTAATATTTACCAGTTTAGTCTGTCCGGTCAAGGGAAATATTTCCCTCGGTCTCCAAAACGTCCCTCGGCCTTAGGGGAAGTATTTCCCTATAAGGACCTCCAATCTGGTAAATAACATAAATAATATATATAAATATATATATATATATATATTATATATATATATATATAATATTATATACATATATATTTATATATATATATATATATATATATATATATATATATATATATATATACATATATATTTATATATACATGATATGTGTTTTATATGTTCTTTCTACACAAGTATAACACGTGACAAATATATATATATATATATATATATATATATATATATACATACATACATATATATATATATATATATATATATATATATTATATATATATTCGTCATCGTTAGCATATCATAATATATGCTAATTCTTCTCTTATATAATTAGTTACTCCCCCAGACTCACTGAAAACTTCATTATTATCATTTTTTAGAATTTTCTGTGGTCTATTGGTTGTCTTATGTCTGCTTGCAACCATAGCGGAAATATCGAGTGGGTCAAATGGAGCTTCTAAGTCGGAAAGAGTCGAAAACGACAAGCATATTTCAATGGAAAACGGCTCTGATGAAAAAACACCATTATTACCAAATATCACCACTAACAAAGTGAACAAAAACGACGGTAAGACGTTGTAATAGTGGTTTAATTTTACAGTTACAATGTAAAGCACAGCTATTTGTTTTTAATTAAATTATCATTGGTTAAAACAATTTTTTTCTTTTTAGGGACAATTTATGAAATAATGAATTCCTTTTCAATTATTCGTAATGTCAATACAATTCTTAACACGAATGTTAGAAAACATGATCTGACATATTTACATGGGATACGAGTATTATCTCTATTCTGGATAGTTCTTTTACACGTTAATGTCCAGGCTTTTGCTCGAGGTAAGTATAAGAGGTAGTTTATTTATTTTTCTAGATAACGAGGAAGCTTGTCCACTTGTCCACTGCAGAAACATTTCACTTACACGTAAAAAGAAATGTTTTAGTGAGGCACGACAGATTAATTATTCCACAATGGCATTAACTGGATGTAAAATATATACAGCAGTATATTATATTTGTAAATAATTATAATGGACGTTTTTATAGGAGATACTCAATATTTATGCATTCTGATTGTGTTACTGGAGATTAAAATAAATTTGCTAAAATTTGTACTGGGTCACGGTCACATGTCACTTCATGCCCTGTAATACGATGGCTGTCTTAATATCAACAAAGGAGTCATACATGCATTTATTTTTTTAGAGAATCGCAAGGATTTTGCACATTTTGAGAGAAAATTTGCAGCAATGGTTTTAAGCACAGCATATGGAGTGGACACATTCTTTGTATTAAGGTGACTTTCTTCAAAAAAAGAAAAAAGGGAAAAAACAAATCAATGTTTACTGCAGTGTGAACATTCATTACTTTTTATAAGCTAAATCTATTTAGATTTATGTTCATCCGACCGAATCTTACATAAAAATTACCAGATCTGGGGCCGATTGTACGAAGGCTGGATTGCGCTATCCACCGCACATATTGTTATGGTGATTTCTTCAACATGTTGGAAAAGCAATAAAATTGCGGATTTGGGACTATGAAAAAAAGAACTCTGTCCCAATTTAAGAATACTAAGATTTAATCCAGGTGCATGATGCCGAATATAACGGGAAATTTTAGAGCGATGAAAAAATCAATATCCGGTGAACAGCGCTTTAAACATTCAGCTTTCGTACAACCGACCACACCGCGTGGTTTACCGAATTCGACCAATATACTTCATTACGCTCTGTTTACATTTTATTCAGGATTTGTATATAGTCACGACATCAAAATTAGCCAGGTCAAAGCGGGCGTCGCCCACCATGTTTTAATATACTTGACTTCGCATGCAATAGCTGCCACGACTCCAGCCGTTTCAATAAAAAAGAAAACTGTGTATATACAGTTTTTATTCGGTTCTTTTCTTCATAATTATAGTGGTCTACTTGTGGTGTATACCAATATGAGTAAAAAGGTGAAAAATAATGGACAGACAAATTGGTTCAAATACTATTTGCATAGATTTTGTAGGTAAGTTTTTTTGCCTCATTTCTTTTCAGAGAGATTTCGCGGAGAGAGATTTTGATGCTCCCATATACGGACATAGGAATGGCATTTATTCACCATTTTCACGTCCTCTTTGACGATCACGTCCTCATGCTAAATCTTCTATTTCTACCAGACTGCATGATCCCAGCTGCAAGATATTTTTGCGGCAAAACCTAGAAACGGCTTCAAAGTTGAGCAATAGTTCGAAATAATAGATATGGGATTTACCGTCCGCTCGTCGACCGATGCATGCAAAATAGTTGATTTTGAAAAGCCATATATATAATTCATTTTATTTGACAATTTTGAATTTATTCTGTACTTTAGACTAACGCCGACATTAATGTTTTGGATACTATTTGTCACAAAATTAAAGCAACACTTTGGTGCTGGTCCTAAATGGTTTCAAGCGATCGATAGCGCAGCTGCATGTTCTGACAATTGGTGGACAAATCTGTTGTATCTGAATAATTTCTTCCATGAGCTTCCGGACGAGGTATGGTGCAAAATAATTAAACTTTAAAGTAGGCCTAAATTGATTGATTTGTCTCCCTAAAATTCGTATGATTTTTCTCAAAGCACTTTCAAGTTCTAACTTTAAAAACAAACCTTCCTATTCCGCGTATACCAGAATCTTCGATGAGGTCATATGCATGCATGAATCCCCCTGTCAGAATTTCCATTTCGGATCAACAGTCGTATGTCGTTGCCAAGTTAGGGGCTGTTTACATTAGCCTCTGTAGGGCTGTTCTTCATCTCTGTTTACATGCAAAATTCTATCCCCACCTCTAGGACTGCATGAGCTTACAGGGACGCCACGTTTTGATGGCAAAAAAGAAATGGCAGGCAAAAAAACTATTTTTATTATTTCAATTAAAATATCTTTACTTCTTCTAATGATTTTTCAACAGTATACTGTGTTATTGCTTTGGAAAATTAACGAAGAAAGCCGGATCCGTTAAATAGCGTCGTTGCTGATGTCAAATCTTTAGCCCTACAGGAAGGGCTAGCTCTCCCTGTTACGTTTATATGGAAAAATTCCAGTTCTACTAGGCGAGATGTCGGATATATCAATAGCGAGATCTCGCTTGGTAGGGCTAGCCCTCTCTGCATAGGGCTCATGTAAACAGCCCATTAGTCTCAAGTTCAACTCAATCAACTGCTATATTAAGCAAAATGCAAATTCGACTAGTTCGTCAACGCCTTAAATAACCAAAGCACGAGACCTGGTGCGAGCTTCTAAAGCCAACCCATAATTTAACGCCGATTGGCTGCATGGTCAAAGATCAGCAACTCTATGTTTGATGACGTGCATGTGCAAGCACCGGCTCTCAAAAATCACTAACCCAGCGTGCACAATTCCAAGTCATCAGTCGACTCAACGGAATAAAATCATAATTTATATATGAAACGTTAGAGAAAGCTCAACTAGACAAAGAGGAAGACACGACAGAAAACTTAACAAATATCCGAGACAAGAGCAGAACCATGCAGAGGCAACATTAACGATTACTTCATTCATTTTATGAACATTGCAAAGATCCCAATACCTCGCGTATGAAACGAATCGGAAAGTAAAAAAAAATATAAACAACATTTCAACAGCCGGAACGAAAAGCCTAAATCCGGTGTTTTTTTCATTCCACTCCTTCCTCAGGTATATATAGCTATATATACCTCTCTCCCAGTAAGCTGGCAATCCACACATGCAAACAATATCTGTACTCTTCTATATTCGCCTAAAATAGGTGTGTTTGGGTCAAACCTGGCAATTGGCAGCCGATATGCAATTTTTTATCCTGTCCCCGTTTTTCTTCATCATCGCATACAGGTATATATGCATTGCGTTTTTGTGAACTGAAATTTTCAAAATATGTCGATAAAATGTATACAGAAAGCGATAAAATGAAGTGGTTCGTATATAGAGAGGAATGCCATTAAGCGCCAAATATGGGAGTGTTATCTGACCAAAACAAAAGTTTAAATTTTAACTCATCGAGCGCGGGGAATATTGATTTATTTAATATATATATATACATACTCGTCAACCTAGCTGCAAAGTTGGTTTTGCAACTCTAAAGGGAAAATGCAGTCCTGCAGCAGTGATATTAATAGCGCATAATCCTTCACAATTCACATGCAATTATTCCCAAATTTAAAAACAGAGGATTTATATAATTATGGCTATAGCTCCTCCTTAAATCCAAAGATTACTCAGTGACTTGTGCATGGAAGCATTCGTTTTAACTTTAGTAAAGTTGAATAATATGAATGCTGCCATATATATTACTCATGTTCCTAAAAGTTACATAATTGTTATCCATTATACAGGTTTGGATTTCGCCGATTACTTGGTGTTGTTTGTGTGGTTATCCTGGCCAGTATCATCGTGACAGCTTCTTTAATTGCACACTATGGTTACTTTTCTTCACAGAGGTAAGTACAACATATTCGTCTAAAAAGTCCGCCATGCATGTGTATTCTGTGTATATAAACGCAGGAAAGCACCTTTGGCTTTGGTGACGCCGATCATCTAAGTAGGGCTATCAATATACATTCATTAGTGTAATACATGCATGGAAAAAATGGGAGTTTTAGGGGGAAAAATCGCAACACTTATCGTTTTCAGTTTAAAACCACCTAAAAAATGAAATTTAAAAAAAGGAGAAGACATCCTTCTTTAACATATATACATATAGGCTATAAAGTTTTTTTTATTGTGACCAATGTATTTGGAAATGTGGAACATTAAGCGAGGCTCCGGGCATTCCAAGTGGCAAAATTGCATTTATCGAAGAACACACAGCAATTCAATCAATAACAATTGGTATATAAGCGCTAGTTATATAACTATAATGTTTACTTCCTGCCGCAGAGGTAATTTTGATAAGTTAATTTTGAAGTCAGAATTTTTAGGGCCAACCTTAATGTTCAATGCTATATATTAATTTCTTTAGAAATTAACCGAATTGTTAGGTTAGCTTTACTATCAAGCAATTATTCCAATTATTTTATTTTACTCTAATTAATTTTTTTAATTATTAGCGCGGCTTCTATCAACGACCAAGTGAAATTTAACACATACCTCAAAAATATTTATGTGAAGCCTTACTGCAGAATCCCTCCATATGTGATGGGAATTGTTCTTGGCTACGTTCTTTTTAAACATTTTTCAAAGCAGTTCAAATTGCCAATGGTAAGAAGAAAAAGAGTTTATATTATATGATGGTATAAACAACAGGCGTCAATTTTGAGTTTTTGCTCAGAATGGTTTGAATATAATAAATGTTTTAGCAAACCATCCAACATTAATTGCTATAGGAAAGAGAGCTAGGGGAGGAAAAATTGAAACCAGTTAAATTTGACGAATGTTTGCAAATCTCGCCAATGTTTGAATGGGTTTTTTAGCTATTTACATCTAAATAATGAAACTTAATAATGTAGGAGAACATGCCAGTAATCAAGTGGGCGCATATATATATTTTTTGTTGGTATGAATAAGAAGGTCATGCATATATACTAACGGGATTTCTTCGTAGAAACTTGTTGTAATGATGTGGCTGAGCGCGACGGCTTTGGCCCTCACTGTTGTGTACGCTCCATACAGCTATTTAAAAGAAGATCCACGTATATGGACAAAAGGCGAAAACATTCTTTTTGGATCACTGAAGTGGTCCATATGGGGACTGTCCATTATCTGGCTTATATTTGCCTGTCACTATAACTATGCAGGTGAGATGTGAGGCATGGCATGGTGAAGTTAGCCTGAGAAATGTACAATTCTGCATGTACATTATAAATATTGGTATAGGCTCCGTATATTGTATTCGACGATCGTTTAGCCGTGCCGGTCAGTATAATTCAAATTATATAATTAAACTTATAAATTTCATTGTCGCTTTTTACCGTTTTATGTAGGTTTGGTTAAGAACATCCTTGCAGCAAAATTCTGGATTCCTTTGAGCCACATAAATTACGCAGCATATATCGTGCATATTGACGTCATTACAACATTAGTTTTCAACATCGAGACACCCCTACATTTCACATCATTTACACTGGTAAGCGCGTGCAGCAAATATTCAGATGCGACAAAACCTTTATTATTTTGGGCTTAGTTTAAAAAAAAGATTAATTGAATTTGTCTAACCGGCCATAAGAATGATTAAATTGTTAACCATACAAATCATAGACACTGATGCATGGAGTCCATGTAATTTATACCCAAATAACCCAATAAGTTGCAAAGAACGTATAAGCAGTGTGAAAGAATATAAATTTACATTCACTTAATCACGATATGTTGCATGTAATATATAATATTTCTTTTACATTTTATAGCGGGCGAGCAGAAATTTGACGATTTCGTAATTACTCGTTTGCATAAAAATCCTTTATATATATTTTACGGTAGTTAACTAGCGCATCCCGCATTTACCTCGGGTGGGGGCATAGAAGGCCCCTTTGTCCCCCACCCCATGTCTCTTTCTCTAAAATATCCTCTATAAGGCGGCATGTATTCAGCTTCAAAAAGATATCATGCAGGGCCGAAATTGGAGCGAAAAAATTTAAGGGGTGCATATTCATATATATACTGTTCTGCCCGGGGGAGGTGTTTAAACGTGTATACATTCAGAAGCAATCGGTTGCAAGGGCGGAACGAATATATTAATTATATGAATTATTATATACACAAGCGCTGGCCATGGATATGAGCTGACGAGCTAACGTGACATTTGATTGGCCATCTACTAGGCAGGTATTAGCTCATATCTAGTAGTAATAGAGAAACGTAAACAAAATTGCGGCATGATTTGGGGAGTTAAAGTGCCTATATCACTTGTGGGATCTTTACGGATTTGAATAGAGCTTGAAAAATTAGTTTATAAGTTCTACAACCCTTTTTGATATAGTTAAATTTGGAAATATAGTTAAAGTTTCGGAAATATTTACATCTAAACATGACGATTTGCCTAAATTTCCGTCGTGCTCGGGGGCCTGGGACTCAGAAACCGAGTTCTTGTCAAACATATTGTCAAACATAATATAATCAATTGTAATTTTACTTCGATCTTCCAATAACGTAAAATATTTTGAGAAAAACTCGCCCAGTTGCTACAGCCGCATTCACAACGCACCGTTCTTCATTTTTTTTTGAAAAGCGCAAACTATATCGCCAGTGAAACTCTTCATGTTTACATTATAAAAGACGGCGTGTTTGCAAATCATTCCTGAGTCCCAGTCTCCCCAACCGATGTATTTTCGAAACTATTTAATTATATCAAAAAAGGTTGTAGAACTTATAAACAAATTTTTCAAGCCCTATTCAAATCCGTAAATATCCCACAAGTGATATAAGCACTTTAAGCGATGATGAAATTCGAGTTTTCCTTGACAAAAGTACACCAACGTTCACGAAAGGGCGACAAACTTTAAAACCAAAGTATTCAACGGAAGTTTAAAAACTACATTACATAGGTTTATATTGAGATCACTGGGGAGCGCGGGAGTTGGATTTTACGTATTGTACGTTGGAAAGCAGACGAGCTGCATCAGTCGTGCAAAGATATAGCGCGCCCACCGACCTCCCCTCAGTCGCCATGGCCACAATTCAAATAACACTCACCTTTCGCCCACTTTGGCTAAGCTGAAATTTATTTTGTTCTCATTCATTAAGGTGGTACACCACAAAAAGGTCATTTACATATTTGTAAAATTGAAAATATCGAAATATCTTAACATACTTAATATTTGTTTTTTAGAGTCTATAGTTCACAGCACAGACATCAGCGTGCCAAGTATACTTTAGTCGTGTTAGAGCTTAGTTTTATTGTAGAACAGAGAGAGTTTTTGCCGCAATATTCTCAAATTAACTTCGGTACGATTGAAAAAAAAAATCTTTCTTTTCGGACGTGTATCTAAACTCCGAAACGACTGGTGTAGCAAACTTAGCACGTGAATGTCTTTGCTGTGAATTAGAACAATCCTACATTTCCACTTCAACATATTGTGTGCCACCTGTGTGCCGGAAGGAGCAATGCATGGGAATATAATATCTTCGATCTATCTTGCTGATGACATGTATTTTCCGGCTTTAGGTAACCTATTTTCTTGCTTCGGTGGTGTTAACGTATCTAATAGCTTTTATCGTCACCGTCGTGGTCGAACTACCTTGTGCAAATCTGGAAGCAATTGCCTGGAAAAAGTGGGAAAAGAAATAAAACGTAGTAGCATGATTATATAAATTTTTTTACTAACTATATTCAAGTTTAGACTTGTCATAATTATATGACCACATAAAGAATTTTTTTGAATGCTCTTTTTCAACTCATTCGAAGTGAGGCTGCAAGTGCTTGCATCTGATTGAATAGAAAAGCATTCAGTTGGTGATTGTGATTTGTGAAATAAAATGTTCTGACTTTCAAAGAGTTTTCTGTAGAAAAGTAAAATATCCAGACTTATGTTCTAACCTCAGGAGAAGAAATTAACTGAAATTAAAAATTCAATACATAAAGATATGTTCCCGATGTAAGAATTCACCACAGATGAAAGATATATTGTACCAGTGAACGAAAAAAGCCGATTTCTAACAGATTTTTAATATAGTTTTAAAATTTATACCCAACGATACGCTATTATACGCTGCACGTACTGCCTTTTGCATCGAGGGGTAAAGGGATAGCCCTGTGCCCTTGGCATATGAGAGAGGTTTTCATATAACATAATCCGTCGTACAAGTCATGCATCTGTCATAATTCGTCGTTTATCTTTATGGTAACTTTGATTAAAATTTCATAAGTTTTAAGCATATAATCTGCATTTTCTGGACAAAGACTTTGCTTTCATCAGGTATTACTGGCACTTTATCTTATTGTATGGGTATTGATGTTGATCCCTTTCATGTAACCTTGCTGTTATTCACCGTATAAACCTTTTGAATTGCAGAACTGGGTAGCATTTGGTAGCATTATCTTGACAGCATATAGGATATTTCATTACGAGATTACATTGTTTGTCTTAATAGACTGCACTGTATGTAGCTGCATGCATATGGCTACTAATGTAATCTCTATGTGGTAAATATTTGTAAATTGTGTTCACTGTCTCAACCATTGACAGTGTATTCAAATCAGTTCTGTCTACTACCAATCATCGCAACAACCTCGTACCCAGGGTCTTTTCTCTGGGCTCACTCTCTGTGCAGTGAGCACAGAGAAAAGACCCTGGGTACGAGGTTGTCATCGCAATAACTCAATAAGCTGATCTTTTTGTGTGCCACCTGGCGCCCTAGTATTTGTTGTGTCTTGAGGGCTTTACCTTGTCTACCACAAATAGGAAGAGCACACACATGAGACAGGCAATCCAGTTTCCAAAAAGTTAATTCCATACGACGGGCTCAAAATATAGTGTGCCTCATACAAAATTGAAACATACTAATATATGTCTGTATGCTTGTCGACCTAGTTGTCCAATATGTATCAGTAATAGTACATTACTCAGCTACCTCGCATTTGTAGCATGTAAATTAGCTATATCTGTAATTCTCGATATATTTCGAACCTTGTGTAATTAAAGCCTGGTTTCCATACGACGCCCTTTGTCGCCGACTCATTGTCTGTAATCATCCAAGGAGAAAATGATTTCAAAAAGCTTAAGACAAAAGATTTCACTCATCAATATTCACACTTATACTTTATAATATTATTTGACAATAATACTTAGTCCTATATAAACTCATTTCATACATGGGTATTAGGTGGTTTATCCATCTAACGGTTCTTACTCTGGATGTAATTGTTTGGTGTTCTCCTGATGCAATTGCTTTCAACGATTCAAATTTGAAGAGATGTCAAAATACCTACAAAAATCTCACTCTAGAGCAGAAAGCCAGCTGTAAGTACGGCTTCAAATTCAAGGCTTTATAAAATATGTTGCAAAAATATATAACATACTTCATGAGAATATAGCTAAGTCGTGTTAAAACGTACTAGTTAACCGAAAATCGAATCGACAATGCATGTAAACAGGCGACTAGCGGTAGAGTTTAAATTACTCATGTAACCTTATAGGCCTGGTTCCATATTGTCGTAATTGTTGTGAACAAGTAATTTTCGCCGATAAGAAATAGTCCAGATGTAAATTGTCTTTATTTTCTGTATTCAAACTGTTCATTGTTGAGTGTACACCTTGCTTTCCCTTTTACATGGATAATTTGATATATCATATGACCATGCGAACCAGTAATCGTCAAGGGCCTATAATTTATATATAAGCATGCGAGGTTGGTATTTTGCTGAGTAAATAAGGCAAATATTGCATGTATTTCAGCAGCCCTTTTATTGCTTCGTTTTTAAACTAGGTATAAGGAGACAATGAGTTCGTTAGTAATAGTTAGCATTTTTATTGGAAATCAAGCAACCCAGTAAGGGGAGAACAGGCAGAGTATATATTTCCACTAAGAGGCTGTTTACATGAGCCCGGTTACCCGAGATTCAACGAAGCGTGAGAGGACTTTGAGGTATTGAAATGAGCAGATAACATGATCCTGGCAGTCGTATAATCACCACAACAATAGAATGCGCTTGTTTGGTGTCATAAAGACTTATTTCAATACCTCAAAGTCCTCTCACGCTTCGTTGAATCTCGGGTAACCGGGCTCATGTAAACAGCCCCTTATACAGAGAAATAGTTCGCTATGCATGGCAAAATATTTACATAGATCATGATTGTTTTTCTTTTGAATCAAAGCAGTCTTGCAAGTCGAACTAATTAATTATGAATCAAGGTTCGAAGTTCAATTAGAACTTGCGTATATAACTCTATAGCTTTGGCGTTGTCATGCTATGTACTCTTATCAATCGCAATGCTTCGATCGGAACAAAAGATCACACTATACTACTACTGATATCATGCATATACTATTTAACAGATAAAAATAGTACCAAAATTTACAATGATACTTGACAATAAAGTCATATAAAAACAGTGAAATAGGAACTGCGTGACAATTTGGTTTGGGTCACGTTTAAACTTTAACGTGGATATCCACGCGATGACATATATACCATGTCCAGTACCGCCAGCCAGTACCTAAGTTAAGTGCATGCAACCTCGTACCCAGGGTACAATATGTTTTAATCGATTGATTAAAAGTATAATTCTCGCCAAAACATATATTTTTTGAAAATAAATAATAACTATGCAAAAAAACTAAACTGAGGCCGTTTTTTAAATCCGTCGCTCACGTCGGAGTGAGCCGGTGAGCCGGAGTAACAAGTTAAATTTAAAAGCTCTATTTGCTTTGACGTATGGTTGTGTTCCTTTGCATGGGTGAGAACACAAGGACAAAAGAAGTTTATGTTGCTGAAAGTAATTCTAACTTCGACAGGACCTTTTTAGTCTATAAACAATTTATGTGCGAACATAATGCGTGTATCTAAGGGCCATTTGTTTTTCGAGACACAGAAAAACGAAAAACAGTCTTCAAACTCGTGTTTTCATTTTTCGATTGTATAAAATATTCTAGAGAACAAAACAGAACACGTTATAAGTTGTTGAAAGGGCCAGCCGTTTTCCACAAGTTTGAAAAACGAAAAAAAATCGTCATTTCTATACTTTGAATTGCTCGAGCAACAAAAACGAATCTCGAAAAAAATTCTGTTTTTCGTTTTTCGTTTTTGAAAATGAGAAAATCTTGTTCGGAACAATTCGGAGCGAACCAACTGTTTATTTAAAACAAATCAGTATCAAATAATGTTAGTATATGTATATTTATACTAGGGATTAAGATATAGCAAATTATGAGCTAAAACATTATTCCCTTAAGAATGACATATAAGAATGTTATTTAAATGTTTTATTTGTTCTACCGATGCATCCGTTTATTACATATAAATTATATATCTGATAAATCTTCTATGGTGTTTTCTTCTTTGGACAAAAATTCTCGGATAAAGGTTCATGCTCTTCCAGAGCAGCCATGTTTGATACTGATTTGTTTTAAATAAACAGTTGGCTCGCTCCGAATTTTTCCGAATTGTTCTGAACAAGATTTTTTCATTTCCAAAAACGAAAAACGAAAAACATAATTTTTTTCGAAATTCGTTTTTGTTGCTCGAGCAATTCAAAGTATAGAAATGACGATTTTTTTCGTTTTTCAGCTTGTGGAAAACGGCTGGCCCTTCAACAACTTATAACGTGTTCTGTTTTGTTTTTCAGAATATTTTATACAATTGAAAAATGAAAACACGAGTTTGAAGACTGTTTTTCTTTTTTCTGTGTCTCGAAAAACGAATGACCCTTAGATACACGCATTGAACATGCATGCAGGCCCTTTTAACAGCGAAGATACCCTTTTCGCTTTTGATCACGTAAGAAATCGTTAAAAAATAAAATCTAGTTCGTTTCACCACAGTTAATATAGAATATACATGGTTTGGAGACCACATAAAACTACAATACAGTGTGAGTAAAAAAAAACTGACACCTTTGAAATTCAAATTAGCCACATAGCGGCTGTAATGTGGCAGAAGTTGCCTAAAATATCTCATTGGTATACGAAGAATATCATTTTAATTAACCTAAAACATTTTTTCCCTTTGGAGTCAGCCATAAGTTCGCAGCTAATTTGAATTTCAAAGGTGTCAGTTTTTTTTACTCACCCTGTACAAATCATTAACTATGTTGAGGTAGATTTATGCAAAAAGTGTTCCTTTCTCATTACATGTCTATTGTATTTTATACAGATAAACTAATGACAACATATTTTTCAAGTCAAGGTTGAGGAGCTTAGCAAGACGAATGAATGCCATTGGTTAACATAGTAATTAGTATTTTTATTTCGTCTCCAAACCATGTATTATCTATTAACTGAGGTTTCACTGAATAGACATTGACGCAAGTGGAAAACCCGCCAGTGGTATTTATGGTGGAAATACTTTGTGGTATGGCTCGTACAGTGAATGCAAGAAAATACCCGACTCGCGCTATTGTTGGACGACGTTCCTTGGATATGTTGCTCTGCCCAAAATTGGAAAAGAGGTGAGAAATAAAGATTCTTCGGATGTTAATGACCATTAAAATAAAAGAATGCCAGACGAAAGATGAGAGAATAACTGGATAACTTGAATAGTAATATCACAGAATTTATACTGATATAAATCCAAACGTAAATCCAGTATTTGAATTTGTATTGTTTCACTGGATTGTATTATACTTGTTACTTTAAATTTTTGCATATATTATATATTTCTATGAAGTTTATTTTCACATTCCCATGCAATAACAATAAACAAGAAGGCATCGAAAATACTAAAATGCAAAATACAATTCATAAACAGATGGGAAACTGGTACTTTTGATGTGTTTTTCTGAAAGGCGATTCGAAAGCTAGAAAAGAATTAGTCATAAAAACACTATCAAAAAATCTATGTCTCTATTTGCATACTGTATGTGTTTAGGTTATACTAGTGGAGACTGCAGCCTAGGCTTATAAGTTATAAGATGCTGTTATATAATGACGCTATGAATGGCCCGATTTATATATATAGAGACGGATTATCCGTCTGACAGATCATTCGTCTGAGTAGAAACACACGACGAATTATAATGTAAACGAATATGTCATATGCGCGTTAAGAAAGTGTACGGGGATTGGGAAATTATTCATGTGGTAAAAAGTGTGCGCATGCAAAAGCCGTTTTATGATAAATATTTTGTGGTTCGTCCCTACCCCATATTTATACTAACAGACGGATGATGCGTCAAGACGCACTGCCGATTCAAATTTGGATTCTTATTATGATCTGTCTCTTCCAATAAGCTGAATGATTACATTTTCTTTTTTTGAGGCTTCCAATTTTTTTGATTTTCCATATTAACATATATATTGTATACATATATCTATTATTGCTCTTTAACCTGGACCATGCACCTTTAGGTCCTTTAGCAGTTTAGCTCTTATCTATGTTAGCTAGTGCTTATGTGTAAAATACTGTCAAGGTGGACTCACAGAAAGTAACATCCAGCATTCTTTCAGGTTCAACAAATCCAATGGGGTGTGTGTACGCCAAATGATTGTATCAGAGAGGACGGGGGAATTTTCTTTGACTTTCTTTTCCAAAATGGTAGGCGTGCATGGTGTTTGTGAAGAACGAAACAATACGGCAAGCTATACGCAACACATGAACCTAGATTTTATCAACATGACTATAAAGGAAACAAGGAAACAACTACGCAGCCTGGGCCGAAGCTAGATGCGACAATTGGGAGGGAGGGGGGTGCATATTCCTTTCTTTGGATCTCCATGATAGATTTCTCAGTGTGATTTTTCGTATGTGTTTTCGGATGAAATCCGTCAGCCAGAACAATATATGAGTGTGCCCCAATTATCAGTGTACAGATCGTATATCATGCAAAAGTTAACATTTTTGGAAGATCCCAAAAATTAGAGTGGAAGTGAAGTCCGTTTAGCGCATTGGACCAGTTTTGCTCATAACAATGCGAGGGCCCAAAATGTGAGGGGAGAATTTCCAAAATTTCCTATGTTTCGAACTTTTCTAAACATAAACTATAGTTCATATTCATATTGTATGGAATGTTTTAGTAATACTTTACGTTAACTAACTTTAACTACAGGATTCAATCTGCTGTATTCATTTACAGTAAAAGTAAGACTAAGATTTGGTTAATATTATACTGCAAATCCTTTGTTTCCTGTACAAAGAATATAGACACACACCGGAGGCTAAAAGGCTGTCCCACAGGCTAAGTCAAAACAAGTGGCAATTGTTTAGTGGTGAGACCCCAAGAATTTCCCCTGTTTCTTATAGTTATATTCACATGCACATTATCTATGAGTATCATCTGTATTTACTAGTTTCAGGCATCAACATTGTTACCCCGATCAAAATATACTTCCAAGTGAAATGTGCTGAGGACCCGGGATACACAGCATCAGCAGTGGTTACAATGTGAGTTGCACTGTACATAAAGGCAAACTTCCGTTCGGTGCAAAATGTCGCGCGAGTGAATTTTTTTGAAATCTTCCATTAAATTTGATACTCATAGGTCACTTAAATTCGGCGATGGCTATACGTCGGTGATCACGGGAAAATAAAAATTCTAATATTCTAAGTAAATCAGTCGTTTTAATGGAACAAACTTGTGAACAGTTAATAATATAGATGTAAAGTTTGTTAAAAAGTTGCCTTATATGACCCATAAAATTTATTCACATCCGCTTAGTGTAACTGAATAGATCAATAAGACTTAGAGGATGGATTTTTGAAATTTTACTATAACGTTTGTGTAGTCATTGATTTATCAATTAATTTCGAGGTGTCTTCCAACGAAGGTGATTCTTATTCAAAAAAGCCTGAAATAAATAATTATGCATGTATTCGCTGAAACTATAACCGTCAATGAACATGACATTTTTGTGCCTCATAGGATATTATAGATTTTGTGCACTATTTTTTGGGAATGCCTGTAGAGGCAATATTAAGCTTTAAGAGATTAGTATAATTACTATAAAACTGCACACGTTCTGTGACATTTAGCCTTTCTCGTGATGACGGATATCCTCCATTTTTATAGGGTGATTTCAATTTTTTAGAAACGCGCCGTTACGATTTCTAACGATCACCGGATTATACAAAAATTAACAGTACCCCTAAAATGGCGGCATATTCGTCATCGTGATATGCATGCTAATTCTTCTCTTATATTTACTCCCTCGGGCTAACTAAAATTCATTGTCATCATTTTTTAGAATTTTCTGTGGGATATTGGTTGGCTTATGTCTGCTTGCCACCATAATGGAAGTAATTAGTGGGTCAAATGGAGCTTCTAAGTCGGAAAGAATCGAGAACGACAAGCATATTTCAATGGAAAACGACCCTGATGAAAAAACACCATTGTTACCAAATGTTACCACTAACAGAGTGGGCAAAAACGACGGTAAGACGTTGTAATAGTGGTTTATTTTACAGTTACAATGTAGGGCAAGTCTATATTTGTTATAATTATTGGTTAAACGATTTTTTCTTTTTAGGGACATTTTATGAAATAGTAAATTCCTTCTCAATGATCCGTAATGTCAATACAATTCTTAACACGAATGTTAGAAAAAGTGATTTGACATATTTACATGGGATACGAGTATTATCTCTATTCTGGATAATTCTTTTCCACGTTTATGTCCAGACTTTTGCTCAAGGTAAGTAATAAGAGAGTAGTTTATTTTCTAGGTAGTGAGGAAGCTTGCATACGGTAAACGAAATCTGTCAGTTAAGCACGAAAGATGAATTACATGCATTTGAACAAATTCTTTGTTTACATGCATTGTGATAATTGTACTATCATGTTATGTTCTGTGGGCAATCATATAGCGGCTCCCGCTCGCGTAGAAAACGCAGTACTATATTATTCAGTGCATTAACTGGATGCTGAATATATAATGCAGGATAACCATGAAAGAACATGATAACGAGGAATTTCGATATTTTATAAATTATAATCGAAAAAATTGTTTTCATTTTTCCGGTTCAGCTATAATCAGAATGCCTAAATATTTTTTTAACTACTTCATGTAAAATTGGTGAATAATGTAGCTCTTTCCCGAAAGTACTCAATATTTGAAATTTGCCCTTGTTCACGATCACATGCCCCGAATTGCGCTTGCTGCATTTTGATATCAACAAAGGAATCATGCATTTATTTATCTTTTTTAGACAATCGAAAGGATGTCGCACATTTTAAGAGAAAATTTGCATCAATGGTTTTAAACACAGCATATGGAGTGGACACATTCTTTATATTAAGGTAGAGGATTTGGGAGGAAATTCGATAATACCAACTGCTCGCCGTAAATTGTCTTAGCCCTTTCACACGAAAGGAAATCGCAAGAAGTGTGGCAAAATCACCTCGATTTAGTCAAAAAGTGAACACTCTTCGCCCGAGAACCCAAAATACCCCCCGAGACAAGTTATCTTGTGCACTGCCCAAGCCTGCATGCTGCTTATATCATATTATATTCATCGGTTACGTTCTTCGTAATCCCCCTGTTAGAATTCGTTGCCATTCGACAAATTAAGGCAAACAAAAAGAATACTTGTACTTCCATAGACACCAAAAGTAATACTTATTACTCCAAAAGTTATTACTCCAAATATTACCCTCGAAGAATTTTGGTAAAGTAAACCTCCTACATTTTGACGGTCAAATTATTGGTTTAAGTCTTCATGCACATGACCCAAGAAAGTAAAATCTTGCGGTTTGAAATGCAAGATAATTCACTCGTCGAAAAACAGTTTTTGTAAAAATATTTAGCAATAATATTTTACTATGTCCGTGATGACCGCAAGGTACCTCGCTGCCTCGCCTTTTTTATTTTGGGCACTTTTATTTGGATAGCTCCATAGAGAAGAAAAACGTATCTATACGTTTTTACTTTATATAGTGGTCTACTGGTGGTGTATGTCAATATGAGTAAGAAGGTGAAAAATAACGGACAGACAAACTGGTTCAAATACTATTTGCATAGATTTTGGAGGTAAGTTTTCTGCCTCAGTCATTTTAGAGAGATTTTGGTGCGTCTGTATATTGACATATACCATGGCCATTTAATCGCCATTTTCACGTCGTCTTTAGCGTCTTCATGCTAGATCGCCTATTTTTACCAGACTGGACCTGCAATCTTGGGCAGGAGTTACTTACTCTCCCCCCCCCCCATTTCAATGTTGATACGTGGAATCATTGATTTATAGGGGGTGGGGTGTTACAACAATTTTGTCCAAGATTGTAGCTGCATCTAATTTTCGAAGTAAAACAGAGAAACAGCGTCATGTTGAGCTAGTTTGATATAAATTAATTTTAGTTGTCAATTCTGAATTTATTCTGTACTTTAGACTGACGCCGACATTAATGTTTTGGATACTACACAGCAAAATTTGTCATTCTTGAATCAAGAAAAAAAATGCTTGCTTTGAGCAAAATTTTGCTCAAAGCAAGCAAATACATTCTTGTCCGTATAGTAAGAATATTATTCTTGCATAGAAAAATATTCTTGTTTCAAGAATAATATTCTTGGCAAGAATATTTGTTCTTGATACAAGAATATTTTCTTGATACAAGAACATTTGTTCTTGCGAGAATAACCCTAGAATGCAAGAACATTTTTACTTGTTACAAGAACATATTTCCTAAATTAAGAACAATGAGAAATACATATTCTTAAAATAAGTATAAAGGTTAAGATTATATTCTCAATTTAAGAACGGTTTTCTTGGGGGCAGGTGCGCTGATACAGAAAACAACACTTTTTTAATTCAAGGTTATTGTAGTTCTATTTAAAATTTATTAATACATTCGGTATGCTAAAAGCCCCAGAAAACAAAAACAATACTACACTAATACGAAAGGCCAGAAAGTAAATTACCCAAAGTACATGCATGCAAGTTTCATTTAAACTATAGGGTCCAGGGGGCAGTTGTACGAAAGGCGGATAGAGCTATCCACCGGATAGTGGTTTTTTTCAACCCTTTTAAACATGCCTAAAAGGCAATGAAATAAAATATTTGGAGCCGACAAAAAGAGGTCCCCTAACTTAAGATTACTAAGCTTTAATCTAGATTATGCCAAACAACGAGCAATTTTAGAGCGAATGAAAAAAACACTATCCGGTGGATAGCGCTATCCGCCTTCGTCGTACAACCGGCCTCAGGCACTCAATTCTACATTGTACTATTCAAATCATAACTAAAAAGGCCAGAGGGCTTAAGCATTCCGTTAGAAATGGCAAACGACAGGGGGAAATATGAGGCAATGATGGGAATCGTGATCTGTTCGAAGTGAATTGTATAATGATTCCTTTGAGGCCGGAATGAAAATAGGATGCGAAGGAATGCCGTCCAAATTTTAAGTAAAAATCAACTCAGCCTAGATGTCTTCAAATGCGAAGCTTAAGCCCTCTATTTCTATATTATCAACATTTAAAAATCATCAGATGAGTTCTGTTTGAACTCTAGATAGTCCTGTTTTGCAGACTCAAATGAGTTATATAGGTCTGCAGGGGTGTTCATGTCTTTAAATAACAAATTAAAACATACCATAATTGGAGTAAGTACTCTGTGGGGTTGCCTGTCGCTTGCGACCAAGTTTATAAATAAATTGTGGAGCATCGTGAGACCTAGCTCATGGGATTTTGGATAATCCACATCAATAACATAAAACAGTCCAATTAATGCAAGGACTGCTCTCATGAGACTCTTCAATGCCACAGTAAAGATTAGCGTACCTTGGCATATCAGGTAGGCTGATGTTTTATCAAGACACAGCAAAGGCATACTCTTACCCTGTCGCCGGCTGCACACTGCTTCTGGATCCTCATGATCCTACATTGAAAAACACAATTTTGCATGAAACATTTTCATCATAAGCACTGGCTGAGTGGCTGTGTAGTATGACAATAATTAGTTATCTTACTTCTTTATCAAAGTAACAATTACCTTAATCAAATAAATAAGGTCAATGAGCTTCTTGGCAGATTTATTCAGCTTTCCACTTCCAAACAACAAGTGCACGTTCTTCATAAGATGAACAACTTTGGCAACTATAACAATCAACATTTTTATTTTTGTCATTATGCGCAATAGGAAATGAACAATGCATTCAGCAGACACGGCACAACTTTTCAGATATGTTACATATATAAGAAATGCAGAATGACAGATTTTTAAATTTCTATACTTACCCTTTCCAGCTTCTGTAAGGCCCTTATCATCTGTTGATGATGATGATGATGATGATAAAGTATCATCCCCTGACAAGTCAACATGATCATCCACACAGACTACCATATCAATATTTCTCTTTTCAACCAAAGCCTTTGTTGTTGGATTAGAGTTATCAGTTGGTGTTGCCTTCTCAGTTTCCTAATAATGCAAAGTATATTAAATAATTATATAGTTTAGTCTAAAATAATATTCTCTGTCGACTCTCACTTGAAACTAAATACTTGATCATTTTAAAAGATTGTACTAAGAAACATTATTTTATACCTGAGATATTACTTTCCAGATGCGTGACCGCAGTAAAATCAATTTCATGCCATCGCCTGGAATAATTTCCTTTAATGCATCATAACACAGTTCCTTAAGATCATCATTTGTGAGGCCAACCACTGAAAATAATATACAGGTTAGAAAATATAATATGAATGAAACCTGCATTGATGTATTCCATATGGGTACAATTAAAAAATATCAGGCCAATAGTGCATTATGTTAAAGATCTGTTAGAGTGTACATTTTAGAATATAGAACTGTATAAAAATATTGTTTATTCTTGTTCTTTTAAAGTCCAATTAATGGATTAAGTAACATAACACAAGGTACATGTATCTATATGACTATATGACATTAACTGTGTAGAGGCAGGTTAGCCTGGTATTCTATATATAATTGTTCCAAACTATTCTCTATTTTTATATTCAAAAAATCCCGCCCCTCCAAACATGACAGGGGACCCCCGAATATTAAAAAATGAAGTGCTTTTATAAATTAAAAAATATAGCTTAATCAAAAAGTCTCAGCATTGTTCCATTTTCATTTATAATACCTTAGTTTATACACTCGATCGCAGATAATATACTTTACCTGTCAATTCGTAATAGTACGAAGCAAGTAAGGTGAAAAAACTGAAGGATTGACGGTATTAATTTATATTCGTTACCGCGGCAAATTTAAATTTGCATCGCGTTCCCGAATTCAAACATATGTATGCGACGACAATTCTTAATTATTATGACATAAAATAAGAACATATACTTACCTATTAAACTATCTGCGACGTCTTGATCAATCTCGGCGATTTTTTCGAGTAAATCTTTCGACATTTTCGTATTTTCTTGCGATAACAAACGTTGGACACCTTCACCTTTGTCGAGCGCGCTAGTAACATGAGAAGTGCGCCGCCGCACCGCCTGACCAGCGAACTCTAGTCCCAAAATGCTTTGCAGGGAGAATTTTATATTTTTGAAGTTCTCTGTGATTTTACAATTTTATAGTGAGGAATTATCCGTTCAGAATATGCTTTTAAAATGAAAAGACACCGTCCTATAAATGAAAGGCGTTGGGAGTGTAGATTGTGCAATTGTTTTCAAGCAATTTCACTACGAACGTTGCTTAATCATTATAATAAGGTTCATGGAAATGAGCCCAATTTTCAAGTAGTGTGTGGCATCGAGAATTGTCCAGCAACATTTACGAAATATAATTCGTTATACAAGCACATTACAAGATCTCATAAAGAAGTCTACGATAATAATATCGAGGATAATACCAACGTTGAATTTAACCACAACAATGAGGATAATATCGATGATATGGACGATATTGATCACCACTTCTCAGTCGACTCAGCCTCAGATGAGAGCAGTAGTGATGAAGAATTGGAATTGGAAATGAATATAGATAAGAACCAGGTACCTATATTGTTCAGCCGCAAAGGAGAGTGTTGTCATTACGAACAAACTGTGATTACAATACTCTATCATAACAAGTGCTTTGACTTTTCAAAAAACCATATTTAAGTGCTCTAGTTACCATATATGAAACATTTGCTATTTAGCATGTATGAAATGCTGGCAGTTTACTTAAATGATGGCATGTTGAATATAGGCGGTGATATAAATAAAATGATAGCAGTATTCATCTGTGCTGTCAAGTGAATTATCTAAATACATGGTATCACAAAACATAACTGTAATATTACTGTGATATTAACATAACTGTGATATTATGTGCACAAACCAAGTAGTTTAGTTATTTAAGTGTAAAATAATTTATGTGGTTTTAGAATGTTGACAATATTGATATTACAAAGAGTGCTGCCTCATTTCTCTTAAAGGTGAAAGAAAGGAATAAAATACCTCAGGTGTGTATAAATATTTATTGATGAAACCTTGGTACAGAATAGTGTACCCAACCCACATCCCTATTTGCATAAACAAATGGTAAATTGCTAAACATCAATGGCCAATGAAAACTAGATAGTGCTATCCACCTGATAATGTTTTTTTATTTCTCTGAAATCACCTGTTGTTTGGTATAATTTTGAGTGAAATTTGAAGTTAAATTAAAATTGAAGCTTAAAATTAAAGCTGAACTGTGTAAAGTACATAGCATGAAACAATCTCTCCTTAAAGAGTCAAATTGTGTGGTTTTAGAAAAACTATGTACCTGAAATGCTACATATAATATGATAATACAATCAATATGTTCAGGTTGCAATGGAATCAATAATGGACAGTACACGCACACTGGTAAAGCAAGTGGTAGATTCTGTGAAAGCGGAAGTTTTAAATGTCATGGCCTTCTACCCTCAATTGAAATTGTGGATGTTTACAAAGTAAGTTGGATCAAGCTTTTTGGAACAAAGTTTGCAAAGTCTGGTATTATTGCTATTGATGTTGCTGGAGACCCTGCATTGCCTGTTTTTGGAGTCATTGTGTGCATATGGTCAATTCTGGACTTTACATACTTTGATGTAGAGTTGCTTAAGACGTTATCTTTCGATGAAAAACATCAAGCTTATCACGTTTCGGAGAGTACAGAGGATGTTACTGCAATTTATCCTTATGACAGTCTAGTGGACTTTAATGTCTTTCATTGGAAGAAAGATAAAGAGAATAACAAGTATGTTACAGTGAAATATGACCTTTGTGATATAATTGAGGAGCATATTGAAGGACGAAATCCTCTTCATTTGTGACTGGTAAGAGTTTTTAGAAAAATTTAAATTGTATATAGTATCTTGCATGAAACAGGCAGTCAAGACTATTAACATAAATTGTGGCACATTGTTTCAACACTATTTCACCAAATGGCACATTGTTTCAACTTGTATGTTACACAGTGAAACAAACATATGTATCCAGAACAATGTTACCAGGTATAATGTATTGTTTGTATAAAAAGCGGCAATCAGCTGCTTTCTTCTTTATGTGCAGTGGACTTAATCGCACCTATATATTACTACTAATGTTGAATCACCTTGTCATAACTATTTACTGTTTATTGAAGGGCTTATTCTAGCCAACCTATAGCATTGAGTGATTTTAGGGTTGAAACATTTTAATATTTCATCCGGAAAGTTTGAAATTAAAAATATCCATTTCAAATGAATCTATTCACTGAGCTCATATATTATGAAAACGATACGTTTTCAGCGATGACAATTAATGCCAAAGTGTACAGTACAATTTAGATTTGAAATGGATATTTTTATTTCAAACATTCCGGGTGAAATACAAAAATATTTAATTGAATTGCCTTTCAAGCTGGCTCCATATAGTTATAACAAAATTCAGGTAAAAAAAACATGAAAAGAAATGGGTGACTTTCCCCAACAGTATTAGCTGAAGAAAATTCCAGGATAAGCTGATGTAAGCATGGGTGATTTGATCTGTTACTAACAATTAATAGTGTGATTTTTAGTTCATAAATAAACTAAAAAAAACATTTTCAGTTAAAATCTTCAAAATGCCTTAATGCTATCCTAATAACGTTTGAACGTCTTTAAATGTTAAGTGTCTGACTTTTAATAAACTGTATCGAGCCACTTCTAATAAAAATTAAGTAATAGGTAGAACTAATTTACTAGATTTAAGAATGAGAATAAATTTGTTCCAACATTGTTCTTGTTTCAAGGATATTATTCCTGTCGTATTCTTATTTTAAGAACTTTATATTCTCCCCAAATTTACTTGATTCTTGTTTCAAGAATGTTGCAATTCTTGCGAGAATATTATTCTTGTTATATTCGTATTTTAAGAATTTTATATTCTCCCCAAATTTACTTGATTCTTGTTTCAAGAATGTTACATTTCTAGCGAGAATATAATTCTTGTCTCGAATTTATTTGTCTTATTTTAAGAGAAATAATTCTAGGCAGAAATATTCTTACTTGTTTCAAGAATTTTAAATTGTTGCTAAGAATAGTATTGCTCAAATTAAGTATTGTTTTACTTAAAACAAGAATTTTGCAAGAATATTTTTCTTGCAAGAATTTCCAATTTTGCTGTGTATTTGTCGCAAAATTAAAAAAACACTTTGGTGCTGGTCCAATCTGGTTTCAAGCGATCGATTACTCAGCTGCATGTTCTGAAAATTGGTGGACAAACTTGCTGTATCTGAATAACTTCTTCCATGTACGTCAAGACGAGGTATGGTACGAGTTTTAAATTATTAAATCTTGAAATAAATTATTTAATAGATTTGCCTGCCCCAAATGATGGTACTCAAAACACCTCTAACTTTAAAAGCAATTAAAGCTTTCTATTCAGTACGGGCACAATTTTGGTCCGGGCCCCATGCATCACCATTGTGAGATCCATCCTGTAACTATATGCATGTGATGCCCTTGTAGGATGAATATAGGCTACAAGCTGGGGATTAATTAGCTCTCACTGTAAATTGATTTCAGCACGTGATTTCAGTAGCATGCACATGCCAATTTTTAATTGGTCACTATTGTTATCCCACAGTCCATCTCGGGGATTTTTTCGTCCATACCATAATCGTTTCGGGCCGAATAATGCCTTTCAACCAAATGGAATCAATTATCAATCGCTCTGTTTACTAAAAAATAAAGTATAGTTTTTCCATACCATACCATAATCGTCCATACCATAATCGTTTCGGGCCGAATAATGCCTTTCAACCAAATGGAATCAATTATCAATCGCTCTGTTTACTAAAAAATACAGTATAGTTTTTCGTGTACTGTAACGAATTCGTTACGACTTGTTTTTAGTGATCGACGCAGTTTCCCATTATTACTAGACAAAACTGTCCTCGACTTGCGTAGAGGACCTTCAGTATGCATTAAAAGTGAACTTAAAGCCAGGGTCACACGACGCGATTTTTGTCGCACGATTTTATTTGGTCGATTTTAGTCAGCAAATATTAAACCGTTTTAATATATTGTCGTCTAACTTGAGTCGCTCAAAAATTACATCGCGCAAGGATTTACGTCGATCGACAAAATTCGATTCGTCTAATAATTGATATAGATGTGTTTGGTCCATACCTGGCAATTGGCAGATGATATGCAATTTTTTATCCTATCCCCGTTTTTACTCATCATCGCATACAGGTATATATTAATAACACGAAACCGTTATTATGAGACTTGTAGAAAAGCAGATAAAATTTAGATAACAGAAACCGATACAAATTAATATAATATGATAATATAAGAATAATCGTATGCATGCAAGGGCCAATTGACCAGAGCGAAAAAGATGGCCAGATGTACATTTGACTATAGAATGCATTGCAAGCATGACGAATAAATGACGGAAAAAAGATGGTAATTAAGATTAACAACGTAGAAATTTATCACAAGGAGGAAAATAACCTCCTGCATGTTCTTCAAAAGATGTCAACTTGCTTTTATATAGGATTTTCCACCGCAATGTATTTTGGTTTAATGTACATCCGCCATCTTTTTCTTTATGCTCAATTTCAACTCAGCGTTATCTTATTCACAACCGATACCTTGCTGCCAAGTTGGTTTTGCAAGAATACTTAATTAACTCAAAATAGAAAACATGCCGAAATTGTCAGACACAAGGGCCCCCCACCCCTCCCTTCCTTTCCATGCAAAAAAGCTCCTCCTCCAGGCTTCTTGATCCAAAGATTGCTCAACGGCTTCTGGGGTGATTGAAAGGTATATCAATTCATATCCCTAACAGTCATATGATTGTTATCCATTACAGGTTCGGATTTCGCCGATTACTTGGTGTTGTTGGAGTTGTTATCTTGGCCAGTATAATCGTGACAGCTTCTTTAATTGCACACTATGATTACCCTCCGCTAACTGTTTTAATAACACGGGCATTCGTGTAAGTACAACATATTCGTCTAAAAATTCGTCTGCATATTTAGTGTACAAAATGCAGGAAAACATCGTTGGTGAAGCCGATCATCTCTTCTCTAAGTCGGGCTATCCATATACACATTTATTAGTGATAAATAGGAAAATAGGGTTTTTAGAGGGGAAAATCACAACATTATCGTTTCAGGTAGTTTAAAACTACCTAAAATGAAATAGATAAAAGAGAAGGGTCACTCATCCTTTCAAACTTGATGAACAAATTTTGAAGTCATGATTTTCAATGACTGTAACATTTATTACTAATGCTATTAAACTCTTTACAAACCGAATTGGGTGCCCAAAATTAGCTTAAATTATTGTATTTCACTGTGATTTTTTTATTATTATTATTATATAGCGGGTCCTCTGTCGAAGACAGAGCAAAATCTCTCGAAGAGTTTAATGGATTCTTCAAAGATGTTTATGTGAAGCCATACTGCAGAATTCCTCCGTATGTGATGGGAATTGTTCTCGGCTACGTTCTTTTTAAACATTTTTCAAAGGAGTTCAAATTGCCAATGGTAAGGAGGAAAAGAGTATATACATTTATACCACAGACGTCAATTTTGAGTTTTTGTTTAGAATGGTTTGAATCTCTTTAGCAAACCATCTAACATCAGTAAGAAAGAGAGGGGAACCAGGCTTGTAGCTATTTACATCTAAATATTAATAAATATAACTTTGCGCGCATATATTTTTTGTTGGTATGAATAAGATGATTAAGGTCATATATACTAACGGGATTTCCTCGTAGAAACTTGTTGTAATGATGTGGCTGGGCGCGACCGCTTTGGCTGTCACTGTTGTGTACGCTCCATACGGTACTTTAAAAGAAGATCCACGAATATGGACTAAAGGCGAAAACATTCTTTTTGGATCACTGAAGTGGTGCATATGGGGACTGTGTATTATCTGGCTTATATTTGCCTGTCACTATAACTATGCAGGTGAGATGTGAGGCATGGCATGGTATATTATAAATATTGATAGACTCCATGCATGATTAAAAAAAATGAAATGGAATAAAATGAAATTGGCCAATTCCATCACTTATTTCAAAATATGTGACTTTTGTCGTATGTAACGATCGTTTAGTTATTCCCGTCAGTTTAAATTCGTCCCCGCTTTTTACCGTTTTATAGGTTTGGTTAAGAACATCCTTGCAGCAAAATTCTGGATTCCTTTGAGCCACATAAATTACGCAGCATATATCGTACATTTCGACATCATTTCAACATTAGCTTTCAACATCGAGACACCCATTCATTACACATCCTTCACACTGGTAAGCGCATACAGCTAATATATACAGGTCATCAGAACCTGCTTTATTTGGGAGAGCTTAATTCAAAGAAAGTTTATCGTCTTGTCTAACCGGTCATAAAAAGAAAATTGTTAACCATACGAATAAAAAAACCGATGTAGCTATAGTCCATGTAATTTATACACCAAGTTTGAAACACAGAGAACAACATTCAAGAAAGATCAATTTACAATCACTTAAGGTGGCTCGATACAGTATATTTAGTTGCGCTCTTGCGCGTGGAAACATTAATAGCCTCGCGATATTTGTCTAGTTTTATTTAATTTTCGCACGCACTGCCAAAACCAGCGAGAAACATAAACATAAATGTGGCTATCAGAATCAGAACAATCAGAACAGCGCATGTGCGACGCGCTGTTTCACGTGATGCGTGTTTTGGACCCCGCTTGTGTAATTGCACACGTCATTAAAAAATTCCATTTTTGGCCTAAAAAGCGCACTATATCTCGTTATTTCGTACGGTTACCTATGCTGAAATTTTGCATGCTGTATTGGTACTACAGATGTCTCTCATAATACCAGAATTTGTCTCTCCCAAAATTTAGGGTCACCATGTTTCTTTTCCAACTATCCGAGGTAACTGTTCATTTTCGAGTGAATTTTGTACATGTATGTCGCCATAGCAACGGACGATCTGTTACTAAAACTAATTCGATTCAAAAGTAAAGGCATCAATATATATAAAAAAACCCAATATCTCTGGAATAAATCATAAAAATGCGTTGTTTGAACGCGTCAAAGTGATGAAAAATGGAATTTTTGAAAACTGTATCGAGCCACCTCAATAGCAACATATATTTTACAAATTTATTTTCCATTTTACCGGGCAAGCAGTAATTTGATGACTTCGTAGTTACTGGTTTGCATAAAAATTCTTCATGTATTTTGCGAGGTGCAGTAGCCCATTCGGCGTTTACCTCGGAGGCGGAGCATAAACCCCATTGCCCAGCCCCCCTGTTTTGTTGTCTTTTGTTGAAAATTACTAAAATATCATCTATAGCAACTATAAAAATATCTACCAAAATTGCCGGCATACATTCAGTGTCAAAGGGATATCCATGCAGGGTCGAAACTAGGAGGGGTTCAAAAATTGGAGGGGTTCATATTCACTTGCTCCCGTTCATCCTACTTCATCCTACTAAAAGTATAAATGGTTCAAAATTAAAATTTTTGTTTACAATTGACTGAAAATCGAACGCGTTTCTGCATTTAATTAACATACAACAACTTCAAGTTTTCAATATTTAGTTGAATCACTATAATTCTCCACTTTTCTCGTGTATTTTCTTTAGGTAACCTATTTTCTTGCTTCGGTGGTGTTAACGTATCTAATAGCTTTTATCGTCACCGTCGTGGTCGAACTACCTTGTGCAAATCTGGAAGCAATTGCCTGGAAAAAGTGGGAAAAGAAATAATTTAGCGTTAGTATCCGGTGATGATTATATTTTCATGATTTATCATCATTTATCATGATTTATAATTTCTCTACGAGCGATGTTCAAAATAAGACATGTCTAGAGCAACCAACCTCATTCCCAGATTGCTTTTTTTAATAAGGCTTTTTAATAAGGCTTTTTTAAACCCATTATGAGCTATTTTAATAAGGCTTTTTTAAACCCATTTCGAATAGAAAAACAATAAATACATGGTTGTGATTGGGGAATCAAATATAATTTTCTGACTAAAAATTCTTCTGTCAAAAAAAGTCAAATGTCCAGCTGGAGTTACTTTCTCAGTAACCCCAGGACACAATAAGACTGAATTACAATTTTCATCTCCCATGGCAATCGAAAACTGACACCTTGTAGGAAAATATCTTTACACAATCATGTAATTGCAAATTTCATCAAGGACTCGACGTATACCATCAAGGACTCGACGTATGGTCCCAATTTGTCGTTCCCATACTCGGACGTGGAAGCAATTGCCTGGAAAAAGTGGGAAAAGAAATAGTTTAACTGACGTAGTATCATTTCATGATTATATTCATTTGTACCAACGATATTCACGTTTACAGGGCCTTTTTTAAGGCGAATGACAATTTAAGGGATCTTTTGTCATGATTGAGAGGGAGATATATATAAATATTGTATACAAATATTTATGCTAAACTTTTTATAATATACTACATTTTACACTATTTTAACGGATCAGTGTAGCCTTCATCTTATTCATCTATATTCCCTTTATACCATGACACGTTTCCTAACTTTTTATTGCTTTGTAAAGGGAAATATCTCTATCTGTGGGGACGAATGAGGCTGGGGGAGGACGAACGCTAATTCGAATTCGTTATTCGATAATTATAGTATCAATTTTGCCACACTCTAAAAAATTCTAAAAATTTTAAGTCTAATTTTGTCTCTGGACTGGAGCAATTAAACGAAAAAAACTGAAAAAAAAGAATACGGTCTAAGTTTAATAACAATGCGAATTTAATAGTTTGGAAATTTGAAATCCTGGGGATTTCCAGCAGGATTAAATATTAATTGAACCGTGCATAATTTTCATTTTTAAAATTTTCTTTCTGCGTGGGTCCCCGTGAGACTACACGCGGGGAAATTCACTGTGGTTGTACTATAGTACTAGTAATCAAGAAATTCAGGCTAAAAAAATTATTAATAGCCTTTTTTAAAGGCATGATCGGCTGCTATAAAATATTCAATACAAATCGACTTCACAATGGACTCAAATTTTGCATTGAACAGACCAGTTTGTGGTAAGGATATTGTCAGACATGTCATAATTTTATTATATATCGGGATTTCTGTCATGTATTTATGTTTATATTCATAATAAGGGCTAAGGCATATCAAATGTCGTTTGCTTAATAGTTTTATCGGTTACATGCTTAATATTTAACTACATTACGAATAATTCAGCTTGTCAAGTTGGCTCTCTAGAGGAATTTGTTTTTGTAGAAGGTGATCATCGTTTCGAACCCGACGATAAAGCTGCAACAGCTATTGCTCTACGTTCAAACGACATGTAAGTCGAGTACTAATATAATTTATTATACATTTCCTTGTCGATTCAATGAAAAATCCATTGCCTACAACAAACTACAAAATTCGATTCTAAAATCAGACGAACAAAACTTCGGTTGAAATCAACTCGAAGAAGGATAGTCTGTTTTCACGGATAAATAACTGGATATTTATCGCGTGTTTCGAAATAGTTTTATACATATCCTAGAATATTCGATTCATTCGAAAAATTATATAAGGATTAAGTCGGGATCGCAGTCGATTTTATAGGCGTGAATGAATAGTGGCTGGCTATGGCTGACCGTAAGTGCGGATCGATCGTTGGGAATAAACGTTCTCCCGCTGTTTTTTTAACTCAATTTTGACAAACCGAATATGCTTATGCCTGCATGTTAACCTGATCACTTTTCATTCCAAACTTGTCAAAACCTGTATAATTTATAGGTGATTAAAAGAAACACAGTACTGTTATGTACTTTTTTAATTATTAAAGTAGATAGTAAATGAATGAATAAAGTGTTTCTCATGTTAATTGCATAGGATGTTTTTGTATTTTCCTTGTCTTCTATTTATGCTTCCCTAAGACAGGAAATTGGTTAATATTAGTTCACAATATGTATGCACAATTCAGTGAAACTCATACATTCATGATTTGTCACTTCTTTGTGGATTATATGCGGGATGATAGAAAATCCTGTAGTGACCTAATAACAATACTTCATAACCCCTGACAATATTCAACATTCCTCTATAGTTAGTTAATTTCACACTTCCTTAGTTAATTTATTTTGCAGTTACTTTAAGTTCATCCAAGGCAGTTTTGCCCCTCTCTTTCGTCATTATTAGTGCCAGTAATTTTGGCTATATACTGGCTTTACATGAAATAGAATGACTATGCATACTGTATGACAAATCGAATGCTTCTAAAAGTATTTACATGTGGCCATGTTTACATGTTAACAGTTAACTAGACATCTATTGTGTATGAAGACTGCAGAAGGTGCTAAACATAGCCTTTTCCAACTACAGGTGTGCCTAAAAAGGTTTGGCAGTTTAGTAGTTAGATTTTCAGTGCCATCAATGTTTTTGGGACCAATTGGTGCTGATTGATTAACATTTTAATTAACCTTAGGGAACTATAAGGAAGTATAGCATAGGTTAGTGCATTAATGGGCAGATAGCACTCTTTGTTGTCCTTCTTTGTCAATGTTGAATTAGCATTACATATTATCAACAAGTTAATCTGTTGAGAATACCTAACAACAAGAAATAAGTATGGATAGCGATTGATCAATATTTACCATGTAGCTTAATGTATTAAAATCTACTAATCAATGATAGAATTGTCAATTCATGACGTTAACAGTTAACTACATTAGTTGAAGAAGCTTATTATCATTCTATTGCAACTATATGGTAGTGTTTTACTTTTTTATAGTAAGAATCAGAAACTAAAAAGACTTTCAATTGATGACAACAATCAGCCATATCGGAAGAGCATTACATTTAATGATGATCACCCAGTTAAAGTAACAGCCAAAGTATGTTAGTCTTTTATTGATCACTAAAATGTTCTGAAAGACCTGAAACCACTGGGAATATTGTAATTACATCACAAGTTTTTTGTTTTCAATTTCAACCACCTAGTGAATTAAATTGCATGATTTGAAGTAATTTTTTTCATACATTTTCATTAATATGCTAATGATGCATGTTCAAAGATGCAGAACAGGCTCTATAAATAACACATGCATGAAAGATATTCCTTCATTTTGATGGATAAATGTGAATATAAGCTTTCGCATGGAAGTGGATATGACATGGTCCTTCATAACTTGTTATACCTCATTTTCGCATTTACTGTTCAACATTTGTTGAAGAAGAATGTTTTCTTTCTTGAACATGCATCTCCAGAATGTACCTTGAGAGAAGAAATATATATGTGAAATCCAGAAGTAGTCTTAAAAACGATAAAGTTGTGATGTAATACTGTATGGAAATGCCCAATTCAATGAGATTTATACAGACCATGCTGTGTTCATCCCCTGTAGTTAATTAACTGTAATATGATTAATTAATTGTAATATGACAAATAGGACATATATAATGAGGTTTAAATATTTGCTTCTATCATGGCACAATTAAACAGGACTAATTTTTTTCCATTGTGTACTGTACATAATATATTCCATACTGCAAATAGAAATGCATACATTATGTATATCTTTTGATACAAGGGAGGGACTGGTGGGGGAATTGTCCTATATGGTGCTCTATATCCACTGTCTATATCACGTTTCATACCTTTTAGTTATAATCATTTTGTCATCATTTTGACCTCCCCCCCCATTTTCCAGACCTGATGCAATTTAATGAACCGATCCATTTAAAATACAATAGCAGAATCCGAGTTAGAAGCTAGGCTTTAGCTAGCTATGTATTATGTACTTTCAAACGTGTATATAATCATCATAATGTTATAAACTCTAGATAATTATAGTCTAGTCCAGAATCATACAGATAATTAGCTCTCACATCTAATAATGCTGCAAACGGTGACAAAATATGAGGACGTTTCCTTGCCCACTTCGCTAAAATATTCGTTACCGCATGTAGTTTTTTTGCCACCCTGACACAAGTTGTAGTATATGATTGACACTTCGATCAGATAGATTTATTTGTTGTTGTCCAAGACGAATATATGCCTACGTCAACACTATATTGTATGCTTATTTATAACAAGACAATAGGAACGTCGTGTTAAAGCGAAGTCCGCCAGACTGCTTAATCGTCCTAACGAGAAGTGGTATAGTAAGTTAGGAAAGATGAGATGTGCAAAAAGAAATTCCAATCCGTGGAATTTCACAAAGCCATAATGGGTATTCTCTATAGTTTGGAGTAGACAAATTAACTATAGTCACCTACATATAGAATTGTATTGGATTACCTTTTTAAATCATGTTGCAAAATATTGATATCTTTTTCGAAATTTTTAGTTTGATTATATTGATGGTAGCCGAGATAGTGTCTTTACAGCCGAAGATATGAGGTAATATGTGATGTAAAGCAAAAGGTTATAGACCCAAGCTTTGTGCCCTCAATTTTAATGTTAAATTGAGTTTTATTTTCACACAGAAAGAGAAAGTACAGCTAATATATTGCATTTTGCCAGGAAATATATTATTCGTAGATCCTACCTTAATTTATGACATATTTAGTGAAAGACATGATGACAACACTCGGTTTCCAAAGATTGAAGAAATGGCCCATTTCCATTATGATACTGTTGATTTCAGTTCTCCTCTTCAGGTGAATAGCTTATTATACATATGTCTTTTTCGTTTTTCTTGTGTCTATGGTGTATTGTCCATATATAATATCCTGTTTATAAGACGCTATGGAAATTTAAAACCAGTCATTGCCATTGGAACTTGTGAACTGCCTTAGGGCAAAAGTGATAGCTATAAACCCATCGGTGTGTGTTTTTTTCTTTTTCCCGATGAGTTTATCCTCCTTAACCCTAACCCTTTACTGATATACTGATGTTTAGTCAAAAAGTTTCGCTATTATTTGCGACTATTTCCTAAAGCCAGAACGTTGCACTCTTTTTATAGATGTGTATTTTTCAAAGCAAACAATCAGGAAAAATGACACCAGTCAATGAAGATGGAGAAACCGTTAAGGTGAAGCATGGTTGATTAATTGATTGATTGATTTATTGTTAATTAGATCATTGATTGATAGTTTCATTTGGCTTGTTTAGACGCCGTACTTTTTTAAAACGAACTTAATTCCGAAACATTGCCGACTAAGAATATTTTTGCAACTGTTCACACGATACCAGCCGAGTTTCGTTCCTTGCATCATATTTTTGCTATCGAAATGAAGCAGCATTATAATGTTAATTGTAACTGTTTGCTAAAAGTTCTTCTAAATCTAAGTTAGAAGTACGCTTATTAATTTTTAGTTGATTTGTTGACCGTGCTATAACTGCTAACAAATAGTTTTGCTTTTGTCGTTGTACTCGGTTAGACGATTTATGAGACATTTACCGACAATACCGACACCATTATACTAGCAACATTGGTGCCACGAGACATTCAAAACAGTTCATGTAATCCGGGTTTCCACAACTTATTTGCACATGGCTGTCCTCATAAGGGGGTAGCAATGACCAAAAAGAGAAACAAAGAACTTTTGAAAAGATTGAAAATTGCAAGGAAATTTCCTTGCATTGTAGAAACCCTGGATGTAATCCATTGTTACAGGCGTAGAGTCTTCGTTTCTATAATTAGAACGTTTGTGAGGTCTCTCCTAGTCAATATTAGATAATCATAACGATCGAATGAGACTCAGCATGCTACAGTACGAGGTTGGGAATGAGTCAATGAAAAAAAAAGAAATGCAAGAGTTTCCTGGAAAATTACAGATTTTGAGGTAAAATTGAGCATGAATTACAAAAGGTCTCAATTTCCCGCAAACTAGGAATACGTGTAGGTCAAAATTGTTCCCGAGACACACGTTTGCACACTTCACCAGCGTGCGCTAGCCTTTAGTGATATTAATTCAAATGTAGATTCTCACACATGTATGTGACTTGAGTTGATCTGGGCGTAATTGAATTTTAAAAAACCCAATTTGATTGCCTTAATTATTCGGCTGTTGACCTTAGTCAAAAGCTATCTACCTTTTATGCAACCCATACCAGATTTTGATGATTATGTTTGAACCAAACTTCACGCGAACAAAAATATAATTTCACGCATGAAAGATGATAGTAGCTATAACAACTGGCAACAACCAAACTAGACAAAAACATTTCACGACGTTGTAATGCAAAGTTGTCTGAAAACGCTGAACATTACGCTGCTCCTTGACAGGGCCGCCGAGAGAAATTGTGGGGCCTTGGGCACCCCCCTCTCGGCGGCCCTTCTCCTTAGTTACTGCATGTCACTAATAATATTGTATTTTTCCTGCAGGTGAAAGTCAGTTGTCGTGAGAAAAGTTGGGTTATTTCACGAAGTTTGTCCGATTTTGTTGGAATGGACTTACAGTTTCATAAGTAAGTAGTACTACATTATGAGTTTGCTTCTCCTCCCGTCCGAGTGATAACAGAGTAATGGGCAATAACGTCCGGGCAGTAACAAAGTGACGTGTGATACATGTATATTGCACTCCAAACGAGGAGTGAATTCTTGCACATATGAATGGTTCAACTATATGATTCGCATGAGGATTTCATCTTTCAGTGATGTTTACTAGCGTGTCACTTCCAACTTGTCAAGTTGCAAAGCCCATTCCGCCCTAGGCAATTTTATTCGCGCGCAAACTGATAAGTAGGAAGCGATTCTACGTTTCTACAGCGAATTTAATCATATCACTAGAATTCATTGTGAATATATTATATATAACACCGGGAATGTATTATATATAACACTAGTGGAGAACGGCTTTAGAAATACAGTAACTTTCAGAGCTGAAACAAACCACTGTAGTGCTAATACATCGTGTATTTTCGTTTTACACCAGGATATAATTCGATAACGAATAATCATTCTTTTTCATAATCAACCTTGCATGCATGTGTAGGAAATCAATCATCTTCTTCGATGAATGCGTTTTTCTTGCTTTTCTTCATCCAGAAATTAACCGCAAAGCATATATGGACTGTTTGGAGGGACAGGAAATATAAGTCTGAAATCATTTGTCCCTCCATACAGTCCATAGATGCTTTGCGGTTCGCGACTAGACGTTTATTTTTTAAACGCTATAAACGTTTATTTTTTAAACAGGTGTATTTTTGATCGACAGTATACTGGACTTGAATCGCTAAAGTTTTTAAGGAATGAACGTGTCATGACAAAGGTAATACATTTTTTGTTAAAACTAGACAATACTGAATAAAAGGGATTTGCGGCCGGGAATCTTTACTTGAATCGATCTTAGTTTTTTTGCCACAACGATTTGTTGTATATTATTGACGAAATGAAATTTTGTTCGAATGAATCTAGTACAATCGCATGAATGCAAAATACACCAATCCGGATATACAGGGTGAGTAAAAAAAAACTGACACCTTTGAAATTCAAATTAGCCGCGAACTTATGGCTGGAATATGACAATTCCCATGTGTACAATCAACAAAAACGATTTGATAAAACTGTTCTTTTTTTATTTACGCAGCCTAGAATGCATTTTAACTCCCAAAGGGAACAAATTTTATGTTTTAGATTAATTAATATGATATGGTTCGTATACCCGTGAGATATTTTAAGGAACTTCTGTCACATTACAGCCGCTATGCGGCTAATTTGAATTTCAAAGGTGTCAGTTTTTTTTTACTCACCCTGTATGTACCTTTATATACATGTCATATATACATATATACATATTCGATTGGTTGGGTAAGTGACGATCAAAAAGGAATAATTGATCTCGTTAGCTTTCGAATAGAAAAAGATATACACCAAGTCTTTCTCGATAAGTCGCCTTGTTAAGGGAACAGGGTAATACATTTTTCTTTTCTCATCAGAACGAATTTTAAGCTGCTCGTATACTAGCTATTCTCTTTTCATGTTGAAATTATCCGCCATCTTGAATTTAATGTATTTACGGCAGACTACAGTTTATAGCTTTATGCTATAATGACTCGAAACCTTTAAAAATTTATCCAAAAATATTTGGTCAGTATGCAGCAAATCCTTTTGTGTATGATTAATCCCTGCTGGAAATAAAATCATTATACTTCCCTGCTGGGAATACTTTATTATACTTCAATTTCGTCCACACATGATGGCCTTCGAGTTTTACTATAAAGAATACAACGCAAACCCAACATGAAGTACAAGGACTGATATGACCGAACAAATGCAACATTTTTGAAAGTTTTAATGCGTAGGCCGTAAAATTAAAAATAAACACACGAGCACATGTGAGCGATGGCTAGTAAAAAAAAAAAACTAAGTTCGACAACATGGCGGCAACACCTTCTGATATAGCTGTGTTGAAACTTATTCATCTAAAAACGCTGGAAAGTGGAAATCCCGTCTATACAATCACATTAAATATTGCATACACCTCTCATATAATGATGAACGTTTAAAATGGTCTGGTGACCTCGATTTATTAAAAAATTTCGTCGACGATGTTATCGCAGAATCGGGCAAGTGGTCATCGCCTGCATTCATGGCGGCAGTGCAAAGCGATTTACGAGTTCGCTCTCAGACCTTGTGCTAACTTGGTACAAGGGTAAGCAACAAACTATGGTATTACACGGAGAATCTGGTAAGACTTTTGAGCAAATTGTACTTGGGATCTGCCAGGAATTGTCTCTGTCAAATCCTCATATAGAAACACCCACTGAGGAAGACGCTGGAAACTCAAACCCCGTTTGTAGTCATGTCGATATTGCAGAGGAATTAGGGGATATTAAACTAGCCTTGGAAATTCTACAAGTAAGGATTGACTCTTTGCAAAGTTTGGCAAATACGCAACAAATATGTTTTAGCAGAAGCGACGAACTTTTGGAAATAGGCGAATTAAAAGAAGAGCTTCGAAGCGAAATTAATAAAGCAAAACAACTAAGTCAAGACCTCGGGTGCTTAAACGATCAATTGCTCCAATCCTTTGCATAATTTAAATGGGTATGCCGACAAAGAAACCATCTCCCACACAACAATACCTATTATGCCCTTAATTACCACAACGCAAATAGAAACACAAAAGCATATCGACGAAGTGTCATGTAATGCCATAAATGTACAACTAAACGATTACCGAGAAAAGCAAAAAAGCAAGTATTTAAGGGCGCAAACCAATCTACCATCCCATCCGCAAAACCAAAAGAAAAGCTCTAATAACAGTGACGAGTCACCCCATAGCCAGATCAGTCGGGTGAATATTGGAGCGTCAAAGTCTGCTGATTCTTTCTCTGAGCAAATCTCTCAATATCGTGAAAGGCATAACAGTAGATTTTTAATCAATCAAACAACCCCATCAAGTCACCAACAGGAGAGACTTAATAATCGAAGGCAAACAAGCGTGATAGTTTATAAGAGGTCCTATAAAAAAAACGCTCACGTTCAAAAGCGTAATCTATCCAGTAGTCCTTCCAAAGAACCTATTGACCACCGTAAAAAGCATGGAAAGGGTCTTTCAAGCATATATAAGCCAACAACTACTTACCCGCAGAAGAAAAAACCTCCACATCGTAGACAAATAGGCATACCACCTGTAAACCAGACTATACCCAAAATCAGAATTACCCACCTAACCAGAGCCAACCCAGAGGTCCTAAAGTAATCGAAATAAATGTACCCAAGTTTCCACCTCATACAACCCGTTTCGTACAACAACAGCTACGAACTAAACAAAATCAAACCAACCAGCTGAAAAGATCAGTTAAAAGTAAGCCCACAATGCATGATCGGGATTTTTGTTGGAGACGGAAACGGGACTCAAGTTGGCAAGATTACCTGACATTTGTCCGTGCGACATTACGATAGTAAATAATGGAATTAATCATCATATCCCGGTTCGGGTAACCTCACGAAAGTCCCACTGTTCTATATCACGTTACTCCCCTATGGTTAATAATAAAAGATTTAGAAATCCTTCTAATTTAATAAATATTAAACCAGCAACTCCAGCTACTAAACTTTGGATGTTGTTCGAAATATGCACCCAGAATGTGGCATCGTTCTGTTAGGCGATTTTAACAACTTAGAGATTTCTGAATTACTTAGCTGCCACAATTTGTCTCAAGTGGTAACCACTCCCACAAGGGGTTCCGCTATTTTAGACTTAATAATAACAAATATTTATCCATTTTACAATATTCCAACAACAATTGCCCCCCTCGGCTCGTCAGACCATGAAATAGTGAAATGGCTCCCCAGAATTAATGCACATGTTAACATATCAACGACTGCCAGTAAACGACATTATCGGTGCTTTCCACAGTCCGCGCGAGAAGCTTTTGGCCGGTGGGCGACTCGCCAAGACTGGCCTGTCGATGGTCAAAACCTTACCATAGAAGAGCTCGTCAGTGCATTCACCTCAAATATTTTGGCAGCTATAGATAAATTTTTCCCTATAAAAACTGTCAAACTACATCCTTTTGATAAGCCTTGGATGACAACATCCTTAAAGAATCTGATTATACTACGGCAACGGGCATTTCACAGTGGAAATACAAATCTTTGGCACCACTATAGAGACAAAGTAAGATTAGAGATAATAGAAAGAAAACGGAAGTTTTATGCAGATAAAGTTCAACATTTGAAGAAGAGCGATACTAGATCTTGATCTTCTTAGACTTTAGCAAGGCCTTTGACCGCATTAACCTTAACATCATGATCACCAAGTTGTTCCTTTTGGGAGTACGAAGGTCACTTTTGCCCTGGATATGCAGTTTCTTGTCAAATCGTAAACAACGGGTTAAGTTGGGTAAATCTTTGTCGGAATGGCTCACGGCGAACGCTGGTGTCCCACAGGGCACAAAATTGGGCCCTATATTGTTTCTTGTTATGATCAATGATCTCGCCCTACCAACTTGCGATTATTGGAAATATGTAGATGATCTCACTGCTTCTGAAGTCATACCCAAACATGGCAACTCAACAATCCAGTCAGATCTTGATTATATATCCTCTTGGGCCTCCGCAAATTATAGAAGTTAAACGTGAAAAAATGTAAAGAGCTAAGGACTTGTTTCTTCCGTGATACGCCTATGTTAGAACCGCTAACTATTGACGGAACAGCAATGGATGTTGTTGACTGCCACAAGGTTCTTGGTACCGTATTAAATAGTTCGCTAAAATGGGCTGATCATGTTAAAATGATTACAAAGAAAGCAGCTAAGCGGCTTCACATTATACGCACCTTAAAGAAAAGTGGTATGACCGCAGATGATTTATTAACAATTTATACTGCACTTATTCGTTCGGTCTTGGAGTACTATTGCCCAGTTTGGCACACAAACCTACCATCGTATCTTAGCGACCAAATTGAACGGTTACAGAGGAGAGTTCTAAGAATAATTTACCCAAGTTTATCGTACAGAGAAGCACTGTCTGCTGCAGATTGCGTGCGGCTGGATGAAAATAGACAACCGGTCTGTGCTTTAATCTCTTCCAAAAGATAAAGTTAAATAGTGATAACAAACTCAATGCACTTATACCTAATTCAAGGCTCAGCGAACATGGTCGATCACTCCGCAACTCGGATAGCTGCACATTAAGTAGAGAAATAAATAAACGTCGATTCTAAATAAATAAACGTCGATTAACAACGTCGATTTTAGGAAATACAATATGAGAATATATATTCACTTCCCAGGTCATCATTTTTTGCGTTAAGGTTATTCAGTGATCGTGCCAATAGAAGTGTCCCGAAAAATTTAGATCATGCTAACCTGCATGATTAATTCATTTGCTAACTTCCAGCAAATGATATGACGAATTCTCCTGGAGATTTTGAATATAGATTGATTGTTTTCTTCATTTAGAATTTAATGGAAAGGTTAATAAAGTACATGAACAGACTCTCGAGAATTGCTGGGAATACAATCTGGTGTGGCCCAATTTTAAACTGGTTTGAGGTGAGTAGCTATATAGCAGACGTGCACTCAACCAGTTTGCTTGAGCTATAGGTCCAGGGACACGCAAAACAATAGCCTTAAAATGCAGTGAAGAATTTTATCTATTATATAGATGTAGTTGGGGAGTGTCCACCGTTATTTTATACGAGTGCATGCATGTGACTGCATTTTTCTTTAGAAACGCCATGTTTTATCGTTGAAAAATTGACACGACAATTTGAGCGAACCCTCATGTAGTTAGTTAATGTGGCTATATATAGCCGATTTGAGAATAATGAAACCAAGAATGTAGTATACACAGTAACTATAGTTGGAAGCGATTTTGTCTTCAACCAAAACTCGTTTTATCGCTTCACAAAGTGAAAAAGGGACGACAGCAATTTAACAAAGAACTGTATTACCATAAGGGGGATATTTCCTCGTATATAAGGTAGAACGTTGTCGTTTATCACAAAATTTGGCACACTAAAAAAGGTTTTCACCACTAGTCACTACTGGAGTTAGCTCATGCGTGCACACGTAGTAAATAATAACACTATTCCCTCTTCTTCGTAATCTTTGGTGAATAAATTGGACACCGATTACCGAAAAACCATATAGACAACCCTTTTATGCCCACGAGAACGTGGTGGCGCCGAAAATAATAAAATAACTCAAAGGTTTAACAATGCCACTCTCAGTACAACCATGCATAATTTTATGTTTCTCTTCAAAATATATACACGGAGCCGGACCTTTCTTTTTTACTATAACTCGAATATAATCTGATAAGGAGCATATAAAAGGAAAACTATAGTAAAGATAGTTTGTTGCATGGTGTATTCTAAAAAGACAATATAGTTGTTCTTGCGGGCACAGATTCCTTTTATTATAGCTACCCGTTCTTTTCCTCCTGTGAAAAACCACCGCAAACCAAGACGCGCGAAGTCGGCTATGTTATCTACTACTTGGTTGGCCTACATTTTGCCAGGATGAAGCAATGTTTGAATGGCGAATTAGCCGTTCTCACTATGACGAATATGCCGCCATTTTTGGAGTACTTTTTTTCAAAACCGTGGGCGTAAGACATCGCAACGGCAACTGTCTGTTGATTCTAAAAAAATTGCTTTTCACGTCGTTATAATTTTTAAACCCAGTTGAGAAAATTGAAAGTACCCCAAAAACGTCATAGTGAGAAAAGGCTAATTGAGTTCCTTTTAAAGACATGCAGACGAAAGAAAACAGGAGCTTCATTTATTTTTCATGTTTCAGTCCCAGATAATTCATACTCAATACCGACAATTCATGCATTGTGTATTTTTATCTTGTGCATTTTTTTGTGATCTTCGCATGATTGTAATTGTCGTGATGCTATTGCATAAGTATATAAGTAGATGTGCTATAATCTCTTCTATTTCTTTAACCAGGTTGATAATAAAGGAAATCATCTTATGCTGACCGAGGACTCTGCTATTAACGTCCCCGCTATTGCTGCCGCGAGCGTCATCAAGAGATATACAGCACAAGCATCCGATGAAATCTCGTTTGAGGTAAAATAACATGCGTGCATGCGTATATGCGTAGACTGCGTATAGGGTTTTTACCAACCCTTCCTGTGTCAAGTAGTGATGTCATGCTTTGAGTTTCAAATGTCAATTGTTTATATAAGAGCCAAGCAATAATCATATTTTCACACCTCCCTAGCCTTGGGGTAACAGAAATACTCCGTGCTATAATTGCATATTCTCACGAGGATAATCAGTATAAACAGGGTGTATAAATTTGTTCAAAAATCTAAAGGTGATGTCAAGTCGGTCATGTAAACAAAACCATTGTTTACATTTTGAATTCACTTTAAAATGCGTATAGCGTCTATATGCGAATATTTGAATACATAGATTGTTTGGGTTGTTTTGATGTAAACTATGAGCATGAATAACTTATATGTGTCTTTTTCAACAAATTTAAAGACTTGAGCACGAAAGTTAATTTTCAATGTTTTTTTGGCTTTGCTTGTTGGGTGAAAAAACTACGTTGTACTGTTTTAGCGCATGGTCAATTTGTTAAAAATTGAAAGTTTTAGGCTTCCTCGCGATACAAATCGAAACAAAATGTTGATACACTATTTCTGGACCGCTTTCAGGCATTTAACATTCAGAAAAAGTCGACATTTAGTGCTTGAATTGTCTGGTGAAAAATTAGCAAATTTATATAAAGCATGATGAAATTTTACCCGTCCTGAAGGCGCGGTGCTGACATATCTCTAATTTCCGAAAACTTAACCATGCTGAACAGGAAAAATAACTTGGCCGACATCTTTGAAGTATCATACCATTATTATTGTTATTGTCGGCACAGTATATATACACTTCACGCCAGTCAAAATAGAATTATAAAACACAGACTCAAATTTTTCATATTTGGAATTCAGTCTTAATTAAAATGTTCTTTCTGGAACACTATATATATATAGTGTTTACAAGGGCTGCTTTCCTAGATAGTTACAGTATTTCTTCAGTGCATGGGAGGGGGATTTTTTCTGAAAATTTCCCAGGTCATCATTTTTTGCGTTGGGGTTATTCAGTGATCCTGCCAATGGAAGCGTCCCGAAAATCAATCACGCATGCAAATGATATATGACGAATTCTTTGAATATCTTTCACTTTGTGTCACTGCACATGAGATGAGAATTGCTCAAAACAAATTTACAAATTTTGATGGAACGATCCGGAAGGAACTTTCGAATTATATTAGGAAATGATCAAATTTAATGAATTGCTGGAAGTAAGAAAAATGAGCCGACCAAAATGCACAAAACTGTAAATAAATATAAGTTCTACTCTTTAGAAACTGAATGCATGGCATACCTCTTTACAAATGCATGTTCAAACTAATTATTATTAACTAATTACGTATAACTAAAATAGACACAGTTGCATTTTAAGACACGTTAAACCAGCTCCAAATTTCTTGGTATAATGGAATATGTTCTCTAGCTTCATTTTCACTGTGTGACAATGGACATCTGATACTATACTTTGTATCCTAAAAAGGCACTTCTGTGATGTCTATTAAGAAACGCTTAAAAACAGCATTCGCAAAATCTCTCAGGATCATGCAGCATTCGCAAAATCTCTCTCTATCCTTAAATTCGAGAATAACCTAAATTCGGGCTCCAAATAGTTTTGCCTAGAAAATTCAATCTTTAGTTTAGACACCTTTATTTTGTGCCTATAAAATTCCACGCAAATATTAAAGGCATTCGCGTTCTAATTATTTTTGAAAGAGATCACTTCATTTGCTGTTTAACTGAAATCATAATGCAGCATACCTTTTTTAAAAGTGAATGCATGGCTACTATAGGCTACAACGATGCGCTATTTGTTCTGTAAAGTTCGTCTGTAACTCCAGGCTTGTCTTCCCGTTAAAAATTGTCCATAGGGCTACGGAAAAAACAGGAGAGTGGACTTCTAGAAACCAGCCTCAGCTATGGTTCACCATACCGTGCTATATATCGCAAGTCGTCTTTATGTATATGACACTGAGTGTAAATAATCTTGTACATTGGTATACTCTTGTGAGAACATCCAATAACATCCACATTTAAAGATTAGGCCAGTATATATATATAACCATTATCCTATTGTTTGTGACATCCCATGAAACTATTGTTTATTTTATACAAAATCTTGGCACAAGTCTCAAGTCTGGCCGGCCGTTCAGCGGAGTGAACATGCATGTCTCATCCATGGATACGTTCCGGCCAAAATATGTGACGCATGTTTAACATCAGACAAATTATTTAATCGTGAATATTTTTTTTATATATGCACATATTTTTCATGCATCAATTGTGGGGCCAGTATATAAATGCTTACGGGTATATTTTGAAAACGCAAACCTCTCAATTGACTGAAGTCTTATATTGTAACATCATCTATCTGGCGCCGTATTGAAAATTAATTAAATAGCTGCCGCGGCTGCCCAACCTTTGACTTTGTCATCCAATCATATCCGACGTGACACTTACGTCTGTATGGCTAAACTGAATCGCACGTATATGGACCAGTGGTATGGACTCTGTTGTAATCTATGAGTCGTTATAAATTTTTGATCGAAGTCATGTTACACATGCATGCATTCATATAGCATCACAAAACGCCATCAAGCATTTTAAATATAGGAATGTGTGTATATGCAATTGGAACGTGTGAAATTTGGGTTTCAAGCACACATTTTCCGATAAATGAAAGCGAACCTATTCCACTATAATAGTTAGTTGCCATACGAATGAACATTTAGTATAATAAAATTGTATAGTTTCTTGACCCAATTCAAAAATACAAAGTGATGCATGTACAGTGTATAGTGTTCACGCTTGCCTGCATGGTTGTATATCAAAATAGCAAGTGTTTAAGGTGAATTTTTACAGTAAATTTGGAGATTCGAGGGGATTTTACAGTATATCTGGAGAGAGAAATATCGATCTTTATGTACCGGAATCAATTGCACCTTTAAGATCGCTCTGCTTTTTTGTCTGAGGCGTTGATAATAATCTCTATGTGAAAGTCCATATCTGTCGTTTCATTTTAACCATTGGCATGTGCTAATATGCCTTTCACAACCCTTATAAAAAGCACTTCAAGCAGATATGGCTTGTTTAAAAAACATGTTGTTGACATTGAGCTTCTTCAAATATTTTTAATACTTGTCATACTTAACCGCGATCTCTGCTGTTTTGGTTTACTTTTCGCCCAGCCGTTGTTGCAAAACGCATTAATTAAACATTTATAGTCTTTCTAATAAATTAGACGAGCATGCTATGCGTTATATTACTGCCGTGATTGCTTGGAAAGAGCGAATAAAGTTCGCTATCTTCATTATGCCGCTTCATTACCGAACGTAATTGATATTTTTAAACTCTTAAGAGCGTTTCAGCCGTTTTCGATATTGTTATTATATCGATAACACGAGTTGTTTCATCGGACATGTGCTTTTTGCAATAATAAATCGCCCTTTATCTGATACTTAGCCATAAACGTGTCACCCCCCCTGCTGGTTTAATTATTTACCAATGTTTTCGTCCGCAGCGTGGGACTTTCGATTCAGGAACAAAAGTACAGTATAGAATGTAGACACTCAGAAACGCAAGCAGTTTTCTCGACCTGTGTCAAAATGTTGCGAGCATTGCGTGTTTCATCTCCCGAATCGGGAAGGAAACAAAAATCCGGTAAGGATGAAGTGAAGAGAATGAAGAGGCATCGGTTGTCCTACTACCTTGCGACTCGTTCGATTGTCTTACAAGACTTGGTAGGTATTAAATGGGGTATATATAGTTAATGACGACGAATGCCTAGGGTGATATATAGCTATTACGTTTTTTCCCAGATGTTGGGTATAATAGAGTCGTTCCGCTGCCTGAAACTAGTGTTTATCTTCAAATCATGTAATTGTAAGTAACAAGTAGACATTTATCTTAGCAGTTTCCATTTAGTATTTTCATTCACTTCGTGGCGAAAACTTCCGAAACTATATATAATAGTGTCGGCATAGGAAACATATCGATAACATGATAATTTTAGAGTGCTTGTGCCGTCTCGATCAAAGCGATCTCCATTATAGCATTCGTTATATACTTGACATAAACATTAAACATGTAAATAGATGTAATATAGTTGTTGAGCATGTGATTTGAAACCTTCTTCATTGGACTTCAACGATGTTGACAAGCATTCCGCACATGATCGCATCATGTTATATTCAACTGTCGTATGTTGCAATGTTGTATAACCATAAGAGTTGCACATGCATGGAAATAGTTGAACACTATATATGGTGGCTTATATAGCCAAGTTGATTATGTTCCCAGAACATGCACTTGTTGTAGTATTTCTACATGCAGGCAATACGGTGTATATATAATATGTATGAATATTAAACACATCAGCAGCTTGTCACTTTGTATATGGCAATATATGTTTTCATTTTATAATTGATAGCGAAAGTCTGACTCTCTGAGGCCCAATGGCAACAGGGTGGCATCGGATAAAGTCAGTAAATATATGAAACTGCTGGCTCTATTCTGTAAGGATTTACTTCTGCTGGATATCTGCATGCGCTAACTATATATCGTATTTCTACACTATAAAATTTTAATTCCCTCGAACCGTCGTACATTATTTTTCAAGTAAAACTATATATGGCGTGTAGATTATTCCACAAAGCAGTATTTTTTGAAATAGGAACTGAATGTAAATGTATATATGGCGCATTTGCATGTTTTGTCACTTCATGAATCGGAAGCTTCCTCCTTATGTCATGCATGTGAAACCAAAGCTGACTATGTCTAGACCATTATTGCATTACCCATGGTAGCTGTATATAATGCTTGTAAAGTTGGGCATGAGGTTTGCTGTATATGTATTTCCGTCATAAACTTTCGTGCTAGATTTTTGAACCCTATATGTTTTATAAGTCGTTGAAATTTGATGGATAAAGACCATTATTCTTCATTATTTCATTCGCTCGATGAGGTGACCCAATTGAAAAA